TTAGAATGGAAAAGGCATGGCAAAAAGGGAAATATAGGATACATGGTTTTTCCAGAAAAGGGTTTGATCTAAGGTTATTCCAAGGTTCTTAATGATCGGATAGAATTTGATGGGATTATTGTGTAGGAACAGGGTTGGTATGCTAGGAAGAGTTTTAAGGAGGTGACTGGAGCCTATCAAAATTGCCTAGGTCAACCGCCCAGTCACAGATTCTGTTCAAATCCTCTTGAAGTTTTTTTATGGCTGCTAATAGGTCAGAAGGAGGGAAGGACAGGTATATTTGGAAATAATCTGCATAGATATGGTATTGGGAATGATGGATCAGAAGAGAAAGGTCATTAATGTAAATATCAAACAGAGTAGGAGATTGGGAGGAAACCTGAGAGACGCAGCAGGAGAGAGGAAGTGTCTTAGAGGGAGATTGATCTTGGACGACTACATACTGAGATCTATTTGAAAGGAAGGATTTGAACCATTGCAGGACTCTGTTGGATAAAGGTAGATGTTGCAGATTAGTAAAGTCTTCTCAACTTAATCAAAAAATATCAAGCAGATTAATCAAAAACTGTACATTTACTCTAGTAGTCGTGATTATCATTTCAAGAAATGATAAAAAAACTTCCTATGTCAATATGAATACATTTTTTCCAATGTGTAAGGAAAGTAGTATGATATGGCTCAAATATTTGATATGTAATTATTTAAAAATAGTAAACTATTGCATAATAATTATCGGCGTTTATTTTCTGGATTGAATTTTCAATGATTTCGTTTTATTTTGTTTTTTATTTAATTATTTTCTGTAACATTATATTGGAATTAAGCTCTGTTGTTTACTGTAGGTATTATTTTATGACTATTGTTTATTTTTCAACTACAATTTTTATAATTTTTCTTGTAATCAAGCAGTGTTTAAGAAGAGAGCAATAAAATTTCTTAGGAGAGGTATGTACTATCGCTCTCGGAAACGAGGGAGACACCTCCAAAACGCAAGAAATGAACACTATGGTAAATACAACAGATGGTGCTGTCTAAAAAAAAAAAAACATAGTGTTATCTAACATTTTATATTAGCAGGTTTATAAAACCATATGTATATTATAATGCAATGTTGGCCAAAATTTCAAAGCAGTCAGTGAACAACTTTCTGAGCTTCAAGATTATGAACGAGGAAATTTTTTTTTTTTTTTGAGTGGCAAAATGCACTACAGCCATATCATGTTTTAAGTCTACAGGATAGTTGTCCAACATTTATTCAAAACATTATTTTAGCAGTGTTAGCAAACTGAAGACTTGTCGGGTTGTCAAGCTCACAGTTTTTCAGACATTTACATTTGACATAAAATAATCAAAGTATTGTGAAATTAAATATATGAAAAACAAGTGCTTTCTATTATTTTTCTTTTCCATGTAACCAGACTGAGCCACAACAACGTGTGGCTGGTTATAGTTTTGAATAACAGTAAAAAAATTTATGAGGAGAAAACTTAAAATTTTAAATATTTAAATTTTTACTTAAAATAACTTTTGGATGATAATAGTTTTGTAGAACTTCTTGGTTAGAGTTCATTGATTTTTTTTTCTATTAGTATTACAAATATTGCAGATCTTTTGCCGCCTTAACAAGCCTGCTCCATCTCTGCCTGTCTTGGGCTACATCTTTCCAGTTATCTGCACATAACTCTATTGCATCATTGTTGATTTTATCTATCCATCTGTTTTTTGGCCTTCCACGTGGTCTTTTGCCTTCTATTGAGGCATTCATTGGTACATATAGGCTTCCAGATTGATTGCTTTAATTTTTTTATATTTATAAAACTAATTATATTGAAATATATGGAGTACATACATATTGTAAATAACATGGACCCAACAACAGATTCAGCATTACATTTTCTTCCTTTCCTTTAATATATAAAACTGCAATTATTCGGGTAGAAATGATATAACATGTTAATATGGTTCTTGAAGCCCTGTTCAAACACAAGATAAACCTCATAACAGAAAAATAATGCTGTAAGGGATACATTTTTTTTTTGTCTTGACATTTAGTAGCTGTTTATTAGTTATAATTTAAAACGACTACATACAAGCTTAGATCACTCACAGAAACAAATATGGACCAACGAAAAAAAATAAAAATTTCTATTTTAGGGGGAAGAGGCTTCAACCCTAAACCCTCCCTGTAGATCTACCAGTGCCTGAACCAAAATGTTCAACTAAAATATAGTTTTGTTTTTAAATACATAGTTTTGTTTACATCTAGTTATGCTATTTTTGGCTAGAAATATGAAAATGAATTGTATTTGGCCAATAAAAATCTACATTATTTTTCTTTATCTGTGATTATATAGGTAACATTTTACTGAGTTGTTGGTCAATTATTAACAAAGGTTCTTAATTAATTTGTGTTATGTTAAGTTGATAAATCTAATATTTAATAGTTGTTATTGTCTACTATTAGCAAGTTAATTATCATTTTCTTTTTCAGTGGTCTTCATTCTGATTCTGATTGATGATGATCAGGAGTAGGAAGAGAAAACTACTAATAAAAAGTAACTTTTGAAACTGGTTCAAATTCGTATCCTTATTTTTCATAATTTAAATCTTCCACAGACAATAAAACATAGTGATGAGAGTATATTTAGGAATTTTTATTTTATGAACATGTTTTGTTCCTAAAATAAACTTACTGTTTGAATTCACAAATATTAACTTGTGCATGTTATCATAATATATAAATTCCATATTTGTCTCATCACTAAACTGTTATAACTTCCTCTGAAAAAAACTAAGTGCTCTTTAATTTTATTAATTTTTTCTAAATGTAAAACTTTGTAAAAAAGTTTATTTAAAACAATACATAATTAAAATAAAAATCACCTATAAGGATGATATTAGTATCAGGTTAGTTCTGATACACCCAGTGGTCCTTCAGGATTGGTGGAAGTGTAACATAGGCTTGAACAAGCAAGTACAAATATAGTTTAAACTTATACTTTTTTAAATGTATATAAATATACACACCACAAATAGTAATGGATTTTTCCTAAATAAAAATACCATTTTCCAGAATTTAACAGATTTTAATGTTTTATTCAGAGGTAGTATTTCTTTCTCATCTATAACATAGTATGTGATTATTATTCTCTTTATTCAGTTTTATTTAAGTTATCACTGGTGTGTCGTGTTAAAGGTGATTTGTCATTAAAGGTTTGACAGTGGACAGTGAAAACATAAGCTTGGCAAAAACTATTAACGGGGTAATGAAAGTATAACCAAATGTTATTTATACCTCAATAAATTTTACATGGTTATATAGAAAATTAAATTTACTTAAGAAATTAATTGTCAAACTATTTTATGATATAAATTTTTTTGGCATTATTCATTAAAAATAAAACTTGAAATGAGTTAAATAAAAATGTTTAAAATAAATAAGTAAATTTTTTAAATAGTAAAAACTTGTATTAATAAGAAGCGGTTATATTATAAAGAAACATTTTATGTAAAAAAAAAAACTGATAAACTTAATTTGTGACTAAATAGTAACTAAATAATTGAAAACTTAATTAGCCCAAAAAAATAAAACTTTGTTGAATTTTGCATGGACGGATTTGTGAAATGGATAAATAATTAATCTTACTATTATAAATTTATTATATTTAGGCAGAATTCTTTGTAATTGATATTAAATTTGTGATAAAACAAGGGAAATAAATAAATATAGTATGACAGCCTTTCTTTATTTTATTTCTTTACTACAACTATTATTAGGTTTAAGAATTTAAGGGATTGTTATTGTAACTAGTTTGTGTATAAAATACGATACACTTTGAATATATTATAAGAATTAAAATCATTATACTATTCAGAGTAATATAAATATTTTTATTAATCAATATAAATTTTCATTAGGCAGTGATTATAATGGAGTGAAAAGGTGGTTGGTTGAACAACTACAATTTCCTCATAAAATATTTAGAAAGATCTGATTTAAAGAAATATGACTAGACAGTGTTGATAAACATAAAATTAATAATTTTTTTTTTTTTTTACATTTTTCATACATGGGTAATTCTATGAAAAGTAACTGTTTTTGCAAGAAAAAAATTTTTATTCTGGTTCTAATCTGATTTCTTTAGATTCTCACACTTATCATTTAATTTCAATGGACAATCTAAAACCTAATGCACTTCTTGAAGAGGTTCAAATATGTTATTCATTTTGCAGCAATACAATTTCAGTATAAAAAGTAAAACACCTGATTTTAAAGACAGTCTTACTTCAGTTTCCTGTAGCTTATCAATTTCCTATTTTCATTTAGATTGCCATTTTGGGTAGCTGCAGACGTGAACAACAAAAATATAAAATAATTTTATGATTTAGAATAAACAAGGCTCTAACATTTTTTTTTCAAAATTACTTATCTTTTATTTAAAGCCATCAAACTGGCTTGGGACAAGAAAAGATCATAGAATCACCCATACATTTTATAATATAATATAAACAAAAATATATAGAATATACATACAATAAAAAACAAATTGAACAATAGGATAGATATTTTAGTTATTCAACATTTTTTCATAATAAAATTTAATAAATTTTTTATCTTTATGCAAAAAATAATATATTCAGTGCAAACAACTGTTAATTAATATATCTTTACAACTTGCTTTTAACCATATTACACTAATCTTAATTAAATCTTGTTCGCTCCACTTAATTGGAATGTTATAATTTAACCTTTTGAGAAAAAGGTTATTCCTAATTTTCTAGGCAGTAAGCTACTATTGGGCTTCAAGTTTCTTTAAAAAAATTAAGCATTCCATTGTGGAACATTAGACAAACTTTGAAGAACTCAAAAAACCGGGTTATGAGCCCACTGCCAAATCATTATTATTAAGGTCCAATATCTCATTTTAAACAATATTTAATTACATATACTGTTTAATTACCTTGTTGCAGAAATCTCTCAGATTTCTTACAAACAATATTGGATATAAGTATTAAAAAAAAAAAGTTTTTTAAGTACAATATTTTATTAAAGCATAATGAACTGATTGATTATTTCGCAATTAAGGTAGAGTAAACTGTGTTCTATATTAAGACATTATCTTTTCATTATTATTATATGATGTTCAATAAGGATATCATGTTAGGAAAAATCATATATAAAATAAATGTTTATTAACAACAGAAATGGAAACTTTTTTTTATTGGATAACCCCCTACCCATTATTTCTGGCATACGGGAGGGGGGAGGGTTGTTCTAGAGGTACAAGCAAACCAATTCTAACCAGAGTGGGAAGGTTGAGTTTCATTCCGTGGGTCCGCCACGAAATAAAAGTCATCCCCTCCCAGGCCGGATTCGAACCGGCATCGCCAGGCACAAGGATGCTATAACGAGCAATGCTGCTGCAACACACTCAGCCATCACGAACTCTATCAGAAATGGAACCAGACTTGTAAATACCTAGTAAGTAGGACACAGGATAAAAGTCAAACTTATCAAATATTTTTCTAAATTTATTACTAAGCATCATCCCTTTTGGGATAATTCTGTTTTATTTTGCTGCATATTTCCTTTGCTAATTCTTCTGATGAAGCACAAATAAGTCTTCGGCTCATGAGATCAAATGGTTGACCTGAAATATTCAATAATAAATAAAACAACAGTAGCAATACCAGCTTGTAATAATTTAAAACATATAAAAAAAAAAAAATTAAGAGCTATAATAACTTAAAAACATGAATAACTAATGAACAAAAAAAAATATGACAGGTATTTTGGGCAAGACAGTGTTTTTGGTTGTCACACATAAATGAAGTTTTTTTTATATTAGATATCAGCAGGTTACTTTGGAAACAAGTTGAGCATAATGTTGTTTGTAACCCAAATTATTTTGTAAAATTTTATCATGAAATGCAGAAAACAAACTTTTATTTCATATTTTACTGAATTTTCATAAAAATAACCAAGTATCTGATGCTCACTAAGATATAGTGAAGTTTATGATATTGTTTCCATTTGAATCAGATAGAGGTATGGATGGTAACTTTCAATTAAAGTACATATATTAGTTTAAAAAATAGTACTAAATAGATATAATATTTGGTAATTGGTTAAAACAGAAAATAGATCAACTATGATACCTGATGGATCCATTATTACACCGCCTGCTTCCTTTATTATTGTAGCTCCTGCAGCCATATCCCAAGCATGGCAGCCAAATTCAATGTAACAATCAGCTGCACCTTTTGCAACCATTGTTATATTATACACCGCTGAACCACTAGATCTAAAACTATACATAGTATTTAATTATAAATATGTTCATAAATAACAACTATATATAAATTATTCTAGAACAGGGAAAAATAAATATTCGAAAAAGAATATTGAAAATAACTATTGTTCTTTGCTTCAATTTAAACCAATTCTAATGATTTTGTTTCATGTTTCAACTTGAACATTCTTCATTAAAATCATCAAACACCCTAGGAAATAAACCAATAAAACATAAGTAGACTTTTTCTCCACTTTCTGAAAATGATAGATGTCCATATTTGATAGTAAGCCACTCATACATATACTTCTAAACTGCATTAGAATTTTCCTTATGAGGTTATATAAATAAAAATGCTTAAATAAAAACAGAGGTTTTTCCTAATTTAAAACTTGGTTTTTAATTTATTAACCTATATGCTATGCCATCATCAAGATTGCCTAAATAAATTCGCAAACATGTTACCATTGGAAAATAAATCAAATATTAAACATATCTGAACCTAGTATATTACAGCATGGGATCTGTATTATATGTAAAAAACCTATACCACTATAACCCACTTCTTGTCTTGGGTTCAATATTCATGTAGTCTTATGTTCAATACTAAGTAGGGAGGTACTGTTGCTTGGTCAACGGTTGTGCAAGGAGGTGATTTGACTGAGATCATGCTCATCCACCAGGTTTCTCCCCTTAATTAATTAAATAATAGCCACATTTTAGAGACTGGATGTGCCCCAGGAGGATCTCCTGACCCAAGGGTTGATCCACGACTGATGTAATAGATAATTTATCTGCCAACAGCTGGGAATTCGAACCTGGGACCTTGAGCACTAGAAGTCAGCTCCTACCCTACTCCCTGTTTACAGGGTGTCCATTAAGTAGAGGGAAATATTTAAATGGTTGATAGTAGATATCAAGATCTACAAAAAAGAGCATATTAACAATTGCCCAATTTTCAGCAAAAAAATAGGAAATTTAAGATTTGTGTATTTTTAAGTGAATCACGTTTTTTGTTGAATAGGATGCGGTAACTTAAAAAATATTTTATTTAAGTAACTAAACATTGCTCCATAGTAAACAAGATAAAATTTACTTTAAAATAAAGTAGAGTTTGTCATCGTTAAAACTATTTAAAGAGGACTATTGGGTAGAAAAATACAGCTAAGATCCATTTAAAAAAAAGTCAAATTTTTGTTATTTTTTTTTCATCACCCTTTAACTGTACTAAATTTACAAAAACTTCATAAGGTTTAAGTACATATTAATTAAGTTGAGGTTTATTAGGAAAAATTTTGAAATTCACATCAAGTTGTGTAAAGAAAAGATGTGATTCCCTATCCAGTCACATAAACTTACCTCTGTTTTCAGCAAATATGTTTACAATTAACTGTTGCTATTACCTAAAGTGACTATTGACTTGTGAAATCAGTATTTTCATTTGTTTGATTATAGTATCTCTGAAATAAAATCACCATTCCTTGTAAATGATGCTTTTTCAGAGAAAAAAAAGTCTCCTAAGGGAGTAGAGATTTCTTTCTAGAATTTTTAAATGCTTCAAATTTCCAATCATTAATTACTGAGGAGACTTGAATTAAGTTAAGGTAATAGCTTATTATTTATACTTAATATTTATAAAAAAATTAAACTTGTCAATTGTTTGTATTATTTTCAAGGAAAAGTAAATATAATTAGGATTTGCCATTTGCTACCTCTCTTGGACTGGTCCTATTATGCGTCCGAAGGTACACCTTTCAAATCGGTACATAAACTATAAATCATTCTAATTAAATGTCTAAGCTTCCCACATGAAGTCACTACAAACTAAATTAGTGTTTTGCAGATAAAACATTTTTTTATATAAAATAAACATTTATAACATAACATTGATAAAGAAAGAAAAGAACAAGCCAAACAAACAAATTAAAAAGTGCTGAATTATGTTTTTAATTTTTTTTTTCCATTTCATTTATAAAAGAATAATCGTAACATAATAAGTTAAGGGCAACTACCATTGTATGGTCTGTCATGGAGGATTTACTGTAGACCACCTCTTCAGTTTTTAGAATAAAATACAATCTGGAAGAGGAAATACCGAATTTGAGATATGAACAATTTACTAATGTTAAGTTGAATGTCCGTATCTAATCTTTATACAAGTGAAATGTAGCAGAATTGAACTATTGGTTTAGTTCTTTTGTAAATAATCCAGCTTTATTAATTTATAAACTTTAAAGTTATTCTATACCTAGTACCTCAAAAATACATTTAAGAAATTAATAAAAAAAGTAATAGTTTTATATCAATAAAGCATACCCATGGGCTTCATTCAATACAGTTCTAAAATTGTCCACCATACACTGCACTTTCTCAGGATCCCTACTTGAGCCTCCTTCAATAAATATTAAAGCATCTGAAAAAGCTTAAACATAAAAAAAAAAAATCATTTTATTAACATGTTTGTCATCAAGCCATTAAAATTAATAACTAGTTAAACTTAATATTGTGGAACCTTGCAGGCCTTCCTTTGATCCTCTACACCAGGAATCCTCAGCCTGTAAGTAGTACTGGAAGGATTATGTTTTTGTATAGATGTAATTTAGTTTGGCAGGAGACAATTTAGTGTGGCTGCCAAGCTGTTTTCTCAGGCTATAGTAGCACTGATTAGCAGAAATTATCTTCCTAGATAAATAAATTTGATGACTTGCTTAAATCAGTAGGCCCCAAATGTCACCATGTATTTCTCCTGGTTCACCTCGAGTCCTAGTTTCCTTGCAGGACCTACCAGTGTTATAAAAGCTTCCCTGACAGCCTGTTGAAAGGGCCCCATGTCAATATCGTCCACATAAGCCAGTAGCTGCGTGCTCCAACTAAATATTGTCTGCACAATCCGTATTCGCAATTCCCTCACAGTCTTCACCAGGGCAATATTGAATAAGAGGCCCTCGTCGCTGAGAATTCCTTGGATAGATCTCCACCCACACACATTGAACACAAACCTCATTCATGGTCAGCCTCACCATACTATAAATTCCTCCATTGCTTAGTAGAGCTCATCACGATTAATACTATGGTATGTGGTCTTAAAATCAATGAAGGAATGGTGTGTCTTTTGCTTAAATTCATGCCCTCTCTCCAATGTAGTTTTCAGGCTAAATATATGGTTGAGAGTTGATTTTCCATGTTGGTAGGAACCAATAGCTCTATCAGCGTAGGAAAGGAGACGTGTGAATAGAACATTTGAGAGGACTTTGTATCCAGAATTAAGTAAGAATATACCTCTGTAATTAGTATACACTAGACGATTACCCAGCTTGTGAATCGAACAGATCATTGATTTTCTCCATGCTGAGGGTATTAATTCATCCTCCCACTGACATAAAAAGGTTTTGAAATGCCTTTACCAGTTTTTTGGCTCCATATCGTATGAGTTCGGCAGGGTGTCTATTGCACCTTGGAGCCTTGTGGTTCTTCAGCCTATCCAAAGCTTCCTCAATTTCCTCTTTATTGGGCGGTTTTAACTCGGGTTACATATCTCCCACAGCAGATAGAGCTTAATTAACAGTCTCAGGGTTGACATTTGGATAAGTCCAGAGGTCTACAAAATGTCTTCTCCATTCTGCTAGGACTTATGAATTACCAGTAACAAGATTGCCATCTTTATCCTGTGGAAGAACTCTCTTAACTCTTTTCTTCTGTATAAGACTTCTATTTTTTGCAACTTTTCACTCACACTCTTTCACTCTTACGATGAAGTATCTTCACTTCTTGACGAAACCTCCTGTGCTCTCGACATAACCTGTCATTCCTCTCTGGGCCATAGCATTATATGCATATTCTTTCGGTGAGCTGCATTTGCGTATTCATCATCAAACCATGAGAAAATTCCGAGCTGGTCCGAGAATTGCATCAGCCGCTGCAGCAAAGGCTTTGAAAGAGCCATGTTAATCATCTAATGATCCTCGTTTATGGTACGTTAATTGTAATGCCTTGTCAAACTCGACTGTATGCTGGTTCATTATCATTGGGTTTTGTAGCTTCTGCAAGTTGAATCTTTTAACCTTACTACTCCTAAAGCTCAGTCTGAACATCGAGAACTTGACTGTAAAGTGCTATTGAAAGGTACTCAACAACAGCTCCTCAAAATGTCCTTGCATTGAGTAGATTGGATTTATGTTGCCTCCCTATCAATATGCGATCAATTATTAATTAACAACCAATCTATCAGGAGTGATCCACATACCTTTATATCATTGTGTGGGAATAGAGCGCTACGCACAACAAGATCCCTGGATACTGCAAAGTTTATAAGCAGAACTCCATTATCATTGGTACGTTCAAGAAGATTATGCTTTTCATAAGTTAGGGTGTAGGTATGCTCTTTTCAAACCTTTGTGTGGAAACTCCTGCAATTATTTTCGTATCATATCCAGGGCATGTATCAAAGGTCCTTTCAATGAGACCTTAAACCATGTTCTTCTCTACTTCTGTCCTACATGAACACTAAGAATAGTTATATAATTTCCCATGGATACGGATGAGACATATTCGTGGACTAATAGCCTTAAATCTAACTACAAGTCATCTACAGGTGCCTTTCACCACAAACCCAGTACTAAACTCTTGACGACTTTCATTGCAGCTGTAATATATGGAATGATTTTTCTTTTCTAAGATCCCACTTCCTATCCAGTGCACTTCCTGGATAGCAACAAGGTCAAGTTTATTTCTGTTTATTTTATCAAGGAGAAGTTTAAGTGCAAAAATGGCACAGAAGAAAAGCAGTAGGAGGGGGGCGCCCCCAGTGGTTCAGAAACTGATTCTGTGGTTAAAAATAAAAAATGATTTAACTGCAGTGTAAAGTGTTTTATATTGACCAGCTTTTAATACATACTTGTCAAAACATAGAATTATCGGACTCTGTGATTGCAGCTCCTCATCAAAGTCAATATCAATTGATACCACTATGAGCATATGTGAGATACTAAAGCAAGGTAATACGAAAGGTTGTCAATTTTTCCATTCCCTCGGGATAGAATTTCCCATCTTTAGAATTGATAGACTTCAGAAATACATTTTCTAATTCCCTTTGTCCATTAAATTTTTTGTCCTGTTAGTAGTGGTCTAGGAGTCTAAAAAAATGATAATCTGTAAGTGGGAGGTCCAGATAGTAGGGTGGATGTGGCAGTTACAAATTCAAGCGCCAATAGCTTTTGTGACATCACACGTGAGACATGTGGTCGGATGTTATCATGCAACAAAATGAGCCTCTTCCGATAGATCAAAGATGGCTACATTATTGCCAATTTCTGATGCATTGCATTAATTTGGTTACAATACGATTCGCCATTGATGGTTTCTCCAGGATTTAAGAAGCTGTAGTGTATCAAACCAAATAAAGCCCAACAAACAGTAACCATCACCTTTTTTTGATGAGTTGAGGGCTTTGGAAAATGTTCTGCTGCTTCTCCTTTGTCAAACACTGTCCAGAACGTCTACTGTTGTCGTAAAGTATCCAAATTTCATCACAAGTTACAATTATGAACAGAAAAGAGTCGTTTTTGTTTCGGCAAAGAAGTTTTTAATGTGTGTGGAACCCAACTTTTAAGCTTTTTTACCTTTACAATTGCCTTTAAGTGGTCATTGATAGTCGATTTGCTAAGGTTAAGTTTCTCTGCAAGTTCTCGAACAGTTGTTCAGGGGTTTTCTTCCACCAAAGCCCGCAGAACATTTTTGTCAAGAGAGTAAGTCCTTCCACAACCTTCTTTGTCTTAAAGGCTGAATTCTCCTTCCCAAAAGTTTTTGAACCACTGTTGAACAGTGCACTCATTAATATCATTCTTGCTCTCACCAGACTTGATTGATATTTCAGGCCATCTGGACCTCATTCCAGCCGAATTCAAACTCATAAAACAAAATGATACGAAAATCACACATTGACATCTTTGTAAAGACTGAATTATTTCCAAGCAGTGAAATGCTACAGAGGTAAACAAACATTATCGTTCGGAAGTGGATTAATAAGTGTTGACATTCATACAAATGAATAATCCTGAAACGTTAACAGTTTGTTATATAGAGGGATATTATAAAGGAAACTCAAAATCCTGCATTATTTTCCAAAAATCTGGTGCGGTGCACACATCACACATCTTTCACTTACCACCCTCTTCTTAGCAGAAATAAGTATTTTCAGACAAAGGGGAAGTGAAAATAAAAATTATAGACGTTTATTCATTTAAATTTCATCGTGAGTATTTTTATTTGTATAAGTACCCTCATATATACAAATTTTAATATTTATAACGCTATTATCTATACAATTAAATATTAAATAATACCAACAATTTATATTTATATAATATTGTCAGAGTTCGTATTATATTAAGTTCATGTCACGTATGCAAGTGTGTTCTAATTTTTCAGGCGAGCTCGGGTGCACTCGTATTCCTTTGGTTCCTCAATTACAACTATTCTCTGTTACGATCTCTTATTTCTCCTTTAGTAAATTATCAAATTCTTTCATATTGTATATTTAACTAATTTTTATATTATAGATTAATGTCAAATGGTCAATAATTCCAAATAAAAAAAATTAAAGGTACTTTAGAGGAAGCTAATATTGAAAATTAGTCATTTAAGCCCTATTAGAGAGCATAAATCAGAATAAAAACTACATTTTATTTAAAACTGCTTAATTTCACACTGATATAATGAATTTAATCAAAATCGTTAGAGCAAGAAAATTGTAAAAATGTGTTTAGTCCACAATATAAAGTGCCACTTCCGGTCAATCGATTTTGACGAAAAAGTTACTGTAACATATAGTATAAAACCTTAAATATGCAATTTCACTTTCGTTCGACTTTTCGTTTTTGAGCACACACACACACACACACACAGACCATTTTTCGAGTCTTGGTTATTTGGACTCAGAGGACCTCAAAACCTGTATTTCTGTTGAAAACTGAGATTCAAAAATTTTCACGATCACAATACCTTCCATTACTATATATTTCATATATAGGTAAGTGAGAGTAAAAACAACCCAATAGCATATATTTAAAAAAGTATGGTATGTAACTAAAAAGAGTGCTGTTTCCCCATCCCTATAATGACCAAGCAATCCTCCAAGTCAGGCCTATCAGCAATTAGGAGAAAACTTAAGTAAGGAATATCACCAGAGACCCTATTCAGCCTGAATTCACTAAGCTCTCTAGAGGATTTGTAATCCCCTAAGTTATAAAAGTTTGTAAAAAGACTACATTATATGCGCCTAGGATGAAAATGAAATAGTCACTTTAATCACAATAATGATTTTTAATAAAATTATATGTTATTAATTCAAAAGAGTCTCTTCTCATGGACAGATGGGTTAATATCACATTAATCATACTGTAGATAGAATTATGAAAGTAGCTGTGTTGAACTGTGGTCACAGGTAGGCTAAAACGAAATATAATCAAATCCTTAGCTACTTTTACGATATTAAATACAGTGTGACTTTAACTCATCTTTTAACTGAACAGAACTTATGAACTAGAACCATATTAGGTACTACTGGATAAATATCACTATACTTTACTCTCATGGTCACACAATAAATGGAATCCCAAGAATAGCTGAGTGTGTTTGAAAGTAGATGGAAGTGACTGAACTGTCTGGTAAGGCCCCATAAGACCTCCACTAAAACGGACCCATTGAGGATTTGTTTATCCCTTTAGAGCGAGGGTGCTTCAAAAGAAGCAATGTAATTTAAGCTGATTATGGTCCTGATATGAACTGCCAGTCGTGATATGAAAGAGTTTGCCAAAGTCGTAAATCACAATCTAAATAAAGGGAGATTATATATTTAACATGTTCTCAATCCTTGGCTATTCTTGAAATCCCATTTATACCATAGACAAGAAATCTTGGACTACTGGACAAGGTGGAGTGATATTTGTACAGTGGTACACATATTAAATAAGAATTAAAATAAAAACAAAACCTTACCTTTTACTTGGCTAACTTGTATTTTATTGCCATTCAAAAAGGCACCTTCATTTTCAATAGCTGTAAAAAGATAATCAAAAACAGGAAGGTATACTATGCCAAGTTTTGGTTCTTTGTTAATGTACAATCCAACAGATATGCCAACACATGGATTGGAATGGACAAAATTCATTGTTCCATCTACTGGATCAATAATCCAAGTAGGGTCTTCTGTCAGCTTGACTTTATTACTCTCGTTAGTACTTTCTTCGCCAATAAATCTGTTCAAATATTTTTTTCAAAAATTATGAAGTGAAAAAAAATTGTCAGATATGGAAGATAAAAGAGTATTTGTAACCTGTGGTTGGGGTAAATAGACTTTAATCCATTTATCAAGATTCCTTCAACTTCTTTGTCAGTTTCTGTAACAAAGTCGACCCGACTTTCTTTGAGATCTACTGTCTTTTCCTTAGAAATGTTTTCCCTTACAATCTAAACAGGAAATCACAACTATAACTATTTCATTGATGAAAACAAAATTTGTTCATACCATACAGTAACAGATATTCATAAAACAAATACAACTCTTCCTCTCAAATTCAAAATAATTACTTACTTCACCAACTTGTTTAATGAGCACTAGTGCAGATTCTAAAAATGCATGAATATCATGATCCATATTTCTTGATTAAAAAAAGAACAATATAACTAGTTATATTAATGATTAAGTATATATAGAGTAACTTAATTAACACTTGCAGACGAAGCAGTACTCTATCACACCTTTAACATTCAATTATTGATAACATAATCATGAGTCACTATAGTGATAAAAATTGTGATAAAAAAATTGTATGACGTAAAAACAGCTGATAGCAGCTAACCTTCACCAGATGTAGCCCCACTTACTGTTACTTTGCACGTAATTTTTGTAGCTATCAAAATGGATTTCAATTTTAACATAAATGATTTTATCAAAACCAACATTGTTAAAATAAATAATGCTATAATGCCTGATACATTTAATGGAGATAGCAGACAAACAAGGTACAATAGTCAACAGTTTAGTTAGATACAAAGTAACCTTGGTTATTTAAGTTCTAGGATTTGTTTTTAAACATCTTTGTGTTTAGTAATTATGGATTAGCCATTTACTTTTATTTTTATCAGGCACTCATGTTTGCACATAAGTCCAACGTTCTTGCAGATTGTTCAAAAACATTGAAAATATCCTAATAAATGTTTCCGTTTCTTCATTATTTTGTTTTCAAAATATCTCTTAGTTTTTCCTGCTAAATGTTGACCTGATCTGATTAACTGTTGGTGGGAGTAGTCTACTATCATTGAAAGTTATAAAGTACCCTACCCCATTGAAATATTTAGAAACTTGAAAACTTATAGAGTTATTAATCAACTTTACTGCTATCTAGAAAATGTCACTCTTTTCTAAAGATAGTAGAAATGTCAAGTTTTCATAGGACTGTGATGAAGAAAAATAAATAGTTGACTGATGGCAATGTAGTCCATATTGTGGAACCCTCTTCCCTTAGCCCTTTTTCCTGAAGATAGTCCGTATTTGTTTTGTACTTGTTCTTTGCTCTATTCAAGACACATATTTTCTAGAGAACACCTTGTAATCTAGATGTTTGTTTTGTTTTTGGTTACCAGTTTCAGACTTTGAAAGTAGACATTTGTTCTGAGGATTTAATAGAGTGTATATATCAAAAAGACTGTTTTTCAACTAAATATTTGTATTATTGTTTCTTTGATATATAATGCCATTAATACTCAAAGTACAGTCCATTATTATCTACTGTCATTAGCCATCTGCTAGCCAATTGCTCAATCTCATGCTGATACCATTTTTTTGGGATGGCTGTCAAAGAACTCTTGGATCGCAATTTCAACTTCTGCAAAATTATCAAATTTTTTCCCTTGAAGAAAATAGATTTAAATAAGTAGCAATCCGATTGTGCAAAGTCTGGACTATATGGTGGATGAGACAGGAGTTTTTCAGACAAGTGTTTTTCAATACATTTTCACAAATTTCTAATCTCTTAGCTGATTTCTGAGAAGTAAGTTCGTGAGGGACCAGTCTACTGCTCTTTTTCACTTTCCCCATGGAAAGTAGATGGCGACTAACAGTATTTTTTGACACACCATCCTTCTGGCAAGTTGGCGAGTACTTGTGGATGGATTTGATTCAACAGCTTCCTACAGAACCTCATGAATGCAGATGGCAAGATTTTGGAGTCCAGCCATTTAAAAAAAAAACCGAAAGCCAATAGATGCATATGTCAGAAACAAGTACTTTCGGAGTAAGAATGGTCCAATGCCTTAAAGCTCAATATCAACTACACACTTTGCGTGGAGTCCCAGGAGCCAGTGGACAATTGAAGGAAGGATGAGGTTTATTGCATTGACAGTGAAGGCTCTACTGGATATGTGGATATTGTTGCATTTCCGAAGACAGGAGGGGCAGCGCTGATCTTGGATTCTATTGTCCGCTTTGAGAGCAACAACCTTGATCAGGCGGGTAAATTAGAAAGGTAAAGAAAGAACATGTATGATAAATGTATCCTTTTCCTAAAAGAGAAATTTTGTGAGACCTTTGGGCAAAGAGAGAGAGTTTACCGTGAGAGGCCTCTGGTTTGGGCCTCACGAAATGATTCCAAACAGAAGTTTTTGAAGTGAAAACTTCTTTTGGCGTGTTTTGCACATTTTTGTGGAGAGTGAATAAGATTGAGTCATCAGATTTCCGATGTGCAATGCTCGGGTGGAGTCGAGTAAGTAAAGTGCTTTTGCATATGGATTAAAATATCTCAGAAAATAAAAATCAGACCTGGATACTGTAAGCTAGTTTTCGTCATTTGATCCTCTTTCTAATGGGTTATTATTCAAATTTTTTTCTTAATGCGACCCCATGTTAGAGAGGCGAAAAGGGAAAAATAGAGTCAAAAACCAAATGATAATGAGTTTTATTGAAGATATAGATTAAAATACCTCAGAAACTAAAAAATCGGATCTGTATGCTGTAAAGGAGGGAAATGTTCAGCATTTCATCCTCTTTTTAATGAGCTATTATTTATAATTTACATTTCATATTATTAATCTTGCCTTGTTAATGTTTTCACTTCTATTGTGTGGTCTAAAGCACACACCTTAGTTTTTTTATTACTAGGATAAAATTAATGTTTATATAAGTTATTTATGAATTCATAGGGTGTGCCAGGAAATCATGTCAGTCATTCTGGATGAAATGGGTGAAGCATCAGCCAAAGCCCAAGGATTATTGAAGCCTATTACCAATACAGAACTTTTAAGAAATAAAGATCATATAGTGTATTTACTTGTTGAAAAAGAAGGCAACCAGTAAGTTGAAAACTACCAAATAAAATATAACAATTTGATTTTTATGGTCTTGTTTAGGTTAATTAACTGTAAATCAATAGTATGTACCCTATGCCTTGATCTTTAAGGTATAAAAAATAAGATGATTTTCCTAGGTTATTGTCAGTAAATATGTTTATATATATTGTCAAAGGCCCTGATTAGAAGGCCATACAGTACTCTAGTCATTCTTAGAGAATAATTTCCATGAAATACTAATTTTAGGCGCTTCAGCAAGACATTTTGACAATGCAACATTAATTTGTTTGGTTCATATTAAGATTCGAAATTGTTGTATGTTTAGTAATAGAAAAGTGAAAAAAAAGTTCTTATATTGGTTTATAATGGATTTACTAACAATTTACATAATCTCAAATTAAAACTTTAAACTGCCTGTAAAAGTATTCTCTGAAATGAAAATTTTGAAAATTGGAGAATACCCAAAAGTCATAAAACTCACATGATAATTTTTTTTTCTTCAATATTACTTGATAAATAAATGATAAAATTTACAAAATAAATGTGTTTGTATTCTCCAAAAAAATGTTAATATTAATGTTGTTCTGAATGGAATGAGGAGATGTTGGAAGAGAATGAGCTCCTAAATCATCATTGGTCCTTGAGTTAAGGAATAAATGGTCTATAAAACTACTAGGTTTGCTCACTCAGAAATGGGTATTGGGGGGACTTGAATCGCAACATAAGGACTAGACCGCCGAACCTACCTATTGCTCTTTCCAGCTTATCACCAAAGATTTATTTGAATATTATTGTGCTTTATTTTTTTGTTCTCATTTAATTTATTGAAGAGAAAACCCTCAAGGCCTTTTGACATTGGATTGAAGAGGATTTCAAGTCTGTATTAACAGATTTATTATAATTTATTAAAATAAAGAAGATTAGCAACCTAGAATAAGCTGTTATGAAGGTCACTTGTTTTTAATGTTTCTTTCATTTTTCAAGTTGCGTTTATACATTTCACAAACAATGGGAAACTCAATTATCTAATTAATTACCAGCGACATTATTACTAAATCAAATTATTTATTTTATTTCTCTTGATACTAACAGCAGATGGAAAATATCAAAACAAGTAACAAAAATACTAGCATAGTGAAATAATCATTTATATATTTGTTTGTTCCATTGTTAGTGGATTTTTTGAAGGGTCCCTCATGATGATATAATTACTATTGGAAGTTCGACCACCATGTATTAAATACAATAAATTAAAAAAACCAACATTGTAAAAAATATTTTAAATTTATTTCTTAGAGAAGAAAATGTAGAAATTGAAGATTTTTTTTTCAAAAATTTATTTATTTATTTATCGGCTGCTGAAGCTACCCTTGGCCCTCTCAACTGCCCTATCCCAATCATTTTGGTCAACAGCATGTCTGCTGGATACTCCCATCATCAAGTCCTCAGCCACGGAGTCCTTCCATCTTCTGTTCGGTCTTCCACGTGGTCTGACTCCATCCGAGCTCCCTTAATACAATTTTCTCACGCCTCTACCTTCATCCATCCTGGTAATGTGTCCCAGCCATTTTAAGCGCTGAATTCACATGAAATGAGAAACTTGGAGATCATCGAATAAGTCGTAGATCTCTTTTTTCTTTCTTAAACGACATGTACCATTCTCTCTAACTGGCCCAAAGATGCACCTCAATACTTTTCTTTCAAAATTGTCAATCTTTTCAGCCAGGCTTTTGCCTAAGGTCCAGGTTGCACTAGCATAGGTCAGTATAGGGCGGATGATTGTTTTGTATATAATCATTTTGGTATCCCGACTTAGTAGCTTACTTCGGAGAAAGCTTCTTAGGGTGAAATATGCTTTGTTACTTGCCTCTCTCCCCCCATTACACGATTTTGAATTTCTTCTTCTTTGTCCACCCAATCATTAACGATGGGCTGAGGTACTTAAAACTGGACACGCATTGAAACGTATATTGTCCCACTACATAATGCTTGGCCGGATTTATAGGTGTTTTCTTCCTGAGCACCATAATTTTTGTTCTTCCCTCATTTATAGATAGCCACATTCTTCCAGCTTCTCTTTGCAATCTTTCACTGGCCTCCTTGATCGCCTTGAGGGACAGTCCAATCAGTGCCACATCATCAGCATATCCAAGCACTTAAATTATTTTACTAAAAATGGTGCCCGACTGACTAAGCTCTGCTCTATTCACCACAACTTATGTTAAATAGAAGTGGGGAAAGGGGTTTACCCTGCCTAACTCCTGACTTCAATGCAAAAGGTTGGCCCAGCTTCCCATTTGTTTTCACTTGACTCGCGCTCTCATTCAAAGTACACGATACAAGTCGGATTAGCTTCGGTGGAATTTTCATCTCTTCTATTGCCAGGTAGAGCTCTTTCCTGATAATGGAATCGTAAGATGCTTTAAAATCTATGAAAATGATCCATATAATCTTGTTGAATTCTTCTGTTTTTCTATTATTTGTCTCAAAGAGAATATCTGGTCAATAGTTGTCCTATTCTTCCTGAAAACCCCCTGGAAATCGCCCAACCGAGGTTCCACTACAAAATCCACAATTCGATTATATAAAACAACAGAAAATATTCAAAAATTTATATTTGTAAGAATAAAATTTCAAAATATCCTGAGAATATTATAGAAATTAAAAAAAAAAAATCATAAAGTAGAATAACTCATGACATAAGAATGTCATATTTACAAAAATCATAGAAAGAAGACGCTCAGTTTTGGATTAATTTTTTTTTTTTTTTTTTTTTTTTTTTTTGATAAGGATAAAAAATGTTCAGGATGTGCAGTCAAAAATTAAGTTTTATATTCATTTTGTAAAAAAAAATTGTATTAAATTTAGTAAACTCAGTAAACTTAAGTTTTTTATCATTTTTCATTCTTACAATTTCAACAGTCAACTATATACTCATCTCTATTTTTTTTTAAATAGTTCTATTATTTTATATTATATTTTGTATTTATTTGAAATAGTAAAAAAAAAAATGGTATTTTGCATTTTTGAAAAAAAAAATCTTACTTATAACACCTACTCGTTGAATTACATTGTAATTGCTTGAGAATAAGAAAATATCAAATGAACCTTTCTCTTACTTTTTAATTTATTAATAGCTATAAATTGAGAAGTTGTTGTGTGTTAAAGCGTTAATTTCATGGTCATAGAAAGCTAAATAGTAATCTTAAAACATCCAGAAACGAGGGCCGGAGGGGTAATAGTGGTCTAGTATTTACTTCAGAGCTTGATTCCTCCCCACAATTTTCCCTCTGAGTGAGCGAACCTGGTAATTTTATAGACCTTGGGATAAACCTTAAGATTTCACTGAGAAGTTATCGCAAACGGGGAGTTAAGTCTCCAGATTTTGTGGGGTCTAATATAATAATGAGAAGATGAATAATAAACCCCAATAATTAACCTCAATAAATCTAAATAAACCTCAACATAATTAATATGTAATATTAAATGGGCTTAAAGCTTATTAAACGAGGAAGTTTTTTTAAAAGTGGGGTATCTGTAGTATAGTTCATATCTGAAGGAGAATGAAAAAAAAATCTCGAATAGTTTATAATTTTTTTTTAAAAACAGCATAGTTTAGCTACTCTTTAAATGTTTCTAACAATGACATTATGAATTGCTTGATATTTTTGAGGATAAAATTTGGACTAAATTTCATTTGGAGTAAATTTTGTCTAGTTTACTAAGGAGCAATTGTTATTACTTACATTATGTTTTTTTTTTTAGTTCTCGCTCATGTTTGCTAGCTTTTCACCTTTATTTTAAAATTTTATTAAAATAGAATGATAATCTAATATAAACGAAACTAAAAACAAATAAATAGAATTTTATTATTAATTGTTTTTGTTATCATTATTGTTATTACATTTATTATTGAATATTATTATAGAATTTTGTAATTTTTACTTCATTAATTTATTTAATATATTAAATAACATAATACTCACTGCAGGCGGAGCTCAATTGTTTTTAATCTTACTTTTTAAAGTGTGAAAATATTCCTTTAAAGCATCTTAGAGCCTAACAATTTGTGCTGTGATGAACATGGAGCCAATAGACACTCTCACACTTGCTGTGTGTGTTAATACATAGTATGAACTTTTACAGAATTTTAATAACTTGAATTCTTTTCAGAATAATATTTTTAAATAGTGATGCTATGACAGAAAGAATTTGCTATGTTAGAAAAAACAAAACTAACACTGGTTGTGAAGAAATCCAATGCTTACTGAAGGATCAAACAGAGATAAAAATATAAATCCGGGATTATTCTTATTGGGATTGAACTTTAACTACGTTCTGATAGCTACAACCTTCCAATACTCTTTTAAGAATTATAGGTATAGAGTAATTATTTCATAAGCAAAGTGAGGCATACCTATTTACATAATGATTGAATTGAATTCTCTTGGAACCTCAGCAATTATTTGTCTATGTTTTGTTTTCATTTATGATTTTAATTTATATAAATATATGTGAGAATAACTTCTACTCCACTTCTTCTTCTTCTTTTATATTTTATTCTGTTATAATTTATTATTTTCGGGTGTTATTGTTGCGAAAAATGTTTGTGTAAATTCATTTATTGTTTTCAGAAGTTATTAGTGTCCTTTAAGTAATGTAATTCTGTCTTTACTGACCAAAACTGATTACTTTTTAGTGGGAAAGGGTCTGTAGTTGGCATGCTGAAAATGGGAAGAAAGAGCCTTTATGTTTTTGATGAATGTGGTGACTGCCATAATGTGTTATGTTTATGTGTCCTTGACTTTTATGTTCATGAAAGCAGGCAAAGAATGGGCTATGGAAAGATTCTTTTTGACTACATGCTTGAGGTATTTTCAAGTGTTATTATTTATAAATTATTCTATTTAAAATTTTAAATAAGTTTGTTTTTGTAAATGCCTTTTGAATTATCCCAATTTGTAAAATAATAATAATCTCCATTCTTACTCCTTACTTTGTATTGAATTTATTCTTATCTTGTGTGTGTGTATTACTATAAGTTACTCTTAAAAACTTTCTTGGCATGGTCATTGTCTGCCCCCCTTTGAGAAGGCACTGCAACCCCTATCTAGTCTTGCCATTTTATCAATTGCTGAAATGAATTTGAAAATTATGATTTGAATAGATTCCAGTTTTTTATTAAGATTTGATTTAATTTAAGTGTTATTATTTAGGAATAGCATTATAAATTAAATTAAGAGCTATTCTCAGCCATTATAGAGTACATAAAAAAGACATAAATTTCATTAGTTGAGAAATTAGCCACACATCATATGGTCCCAAGTCATCCTGTATGTCTATGTATCGCTTTTCCTAGCTATGTCTGAAACTAATACTTCTAGCCTACCAAATTAGAATTCTCCCTGTGATATTTACATCATAGTAACAAGATTACTTTCTTTTAATTACCCAATATTAATTTGTATTGGTTAATCTTGAGGTGTTTTATCTGCAGTTGGAGAAGGGTTAATATCATCAAAAGTTTGCAATTTCTATTTTATACCAACATCTGGTAATGATAAAGTTCTGTCCATTTTCATTTGTTCTTTCACAGAGGCTATTACTATTAGGAATAGTCTCAACATTTACGAACATTATAAACTATGATTTCTATTAAAATTTACTTAATAGCTCATGCTGCTTTGATGCTTAAGCTTTTAAAACTAATTAATTATAATGAACAACAAGAAGGATGTAACATTTGTTGGACAAAACCAGTATAAAAAGTCCTTGTGTCAGTAATATTAACCCGATCATGAAAACTACTGGTATCTGTAGAAGGGAAACTAGTCCGACAAGGTGGACTTCTGCTCCTTTTTGCCAATTCCTGACAGCTAGCAAGAAATTGCAATCGTATACTTACCATAGTGGAAACGTCAAGATTTGTTTGTCGGAACTATAAATAAAATATTAATTAACCCAGGTGGAAATCAAATCCACAGTGTTCAGAAACAGGCATTTTCGAACCCTCCCTCACAATGTGCGCAGGCACCACGTTCTCTGAAAAATAACTGAAAAGGCAAATCGATAGGTAGAATCCTCTATTCTCGTATAGATTAAAACCAACAATAGCCAAAATGGTGTCCAGAAGGCCTTAGAGAATATTTTGGCTGTGTATTGACATAAATATCTCTTGCCAATTATTGAGACATCCATTATTGTTGTGTAGTGGCTTCCTGATGGATTGCTCCTCGTTAGGTCCCATTTTTTTTTTTAATGAGATATAAATAATCATTTTTAATGTTTTAATTTTTGCCTAATAGGTGAATTTAATTATTATGAGTTATTTTAATGTAAAGGAAGGGATCTGTGTCCATTGGTGACTGTCCTGTCTTAATCTAGTCTAGAATTTATTCCTCAGAAGTACCTTATGTACTCAAACTAAGACAGAACAAGTGGTGTCCTACTGGTTATTAATCTACCTAGCAAGAGTAGAAGTTGTGAGGCTTATTCTGTGCATTTATTAGAAAATTGTAAGTTAAATCTCTCAGGTCAGAACTATATGTTTATTTAATTATTTAAAAAATAAAATACTGTGAATGTGTGTTTCAATTAAATTAGCAACATCAAACCTTTTCATTACTTATAAACTGTATTTTTTTCTATTTTAGTTTAAAGTAATTATAAATGTATTTCTTCTCCAGGAGGAACATATTAAACCTATAAAATTAGCCATTGACAGGCCTTCTGAGAAATTCATAAGCTTCCTAAAAAAACATTATGGCCTTGAAAACATTATTAGGCAGACAAATAATTTTGTTGTGTTTCGTGGATTTTTTAACAATTTGAAAAACAATACAACAGGTGAGTTCATGTTACTTACAAAATAATTATATTAGGATTTATTATGTACTCATTTTTAAATCTATTATATTAACTGCATCATAGTTCATTTCTAGTATATTAACTTGTATTACATGCTATTTAAATACACAAATATTTTTCACCTTAATATTTACGGTTGGTGACACAGATATATGTGGAAATAATTCAAAAATTTTGCTATCCATAGAGTCAAATTTGCATTCCTTGTGAACAGTTGATTGAAACTTGCTTTCATGCGTGACCTCACATCCCTTGACCGAAAGTACTTTCAAACACTAATGCTCATATGTGTGGCTGTTTCTCATGTGGAATTTTAACAACAGTTAAACAATTTTAATTTAGCAACAGTTTAACAAAAAATCAACTGAACACTCTTTAAGCTATCTGGGAAAAAGGTAACTCACTCACTTTATTGAATCACAAAATTCACTTGTGCAACAAAAAAATATAAACTAGTTTTTTTGGGAGACTGTCATGGGCCTCCTCGGAGATCCTGGATTCATATAATTATAAAGAAAGAAAGAAAGTGAATTTTATTCTGGGACATTCAGTCCCCTCTGAATAACTACAATAAACTACGAAATGACAATAGTCTGGCATTTGAATACAATTATAAATAAATTAAGTTACACAGTTATCTATTAAAATAAAGAAAAGACACTGTAGTAGATATGAATTTAAAGATAAATAAATATAAGTAAGTTCATGTATTTGTACAAATATGCAATAGGGATTATACATAGATATCTGCAAGATAACTATAATGTCGCTGACATATCTAAAATACAAAATAATATTATTTTTAAGTATATTCGCAAGATTGATTACTGAGGAAATGGTGTTTAAAAGAGGTCGCGGATGAGGATTTTCGTATAGAGGTTGGTAGAGGATTCCAAAACGAGGTAGCACATATGATGAAAATTTTTTTAAAGGAAACAGTTCTATGAGAAGGAATAAACAGATTAGAGGTTTGTGTTTTCGTGTTGAACGAATGAACAAAGAAACAAGGAGTAAAGAAATCAAGAAGATAAGAAGGTTTTTTGATTGTAAAGATTCAGAAAATGAATAAACCTAGGAAATATTGCCCTCACAAAACTGGATAGAACCACTTCAACTTGGCATTGCAACTGGAGACGTGGGAGCGCCTGGGAACTCCAAAGATAAATCTAATGAACATCTCTTATCTGTATGTAATGGTGTAAAGGTAGCTATTAATTTAGCTTAAAATACTTTTTCTTTTTGTAAACATTATTACTAATTCATTTTTTGATACATTTGTATACTTTTTTTCCCCAGAAAATTCTCCAAGAAGAAGTTATGGAAGCCCTTACAGGTATGGCTTGTAAAAATATTATATTACTTTACATTATTTGTGTCAAACTTTTTCAAGTTTCTTAACTGTAATGATGAATAAGATTACATCTAAATTTCAAAATGAAAATAATAAAATGTTGACTTAAAAATGTATGGTATATTTTATTAATTAATTTCTAGATATATATTTTTTAATAATCAGTAGACCATAACATCCACATTTCTCTTGATTCTTAAAATAACTTTTTTTAAAGATTTTTTTTTTTAACCTTACCAGATCTTTTAAATTCAAGATAGCCACGAAGTTCTTTTCCATTTATTTAATATAAGGCGTGTAAGTGTATCTATTCACTCTTCACTATGTTATTTGTCATTTCTCGATTGTTTATTTTGGATGCTGGTTTCAGAATTCACTGTAGTTATTTTATTAACATTGCTCAATAAAATACACTAATTTTAATAAATTAATGCTGTAATAAATTAATACAAGTAAGTTTTATACACAATCAAGGAGAAGTTGTTTGGGATTGTGCACCAAAGAGAAACAACATAGCCAGTGGAAAACTTATTTTTTCTACATTTTGGCCTACAAATTAGGCCTTCATCACAGCTAATTAAGACTAGGTAACATAAAAGTATAAAATGAACAAATAATAAAAACTGGTGTAAATATTAAGTATGAAAAGCATATATTTTCATAATCTCCAATGTATTTCATTTTGTATCTATATTTATCCTCTGATATCTATGGTCTCTTATTTTTCTTAGCCCTTATCAAAGCTTAAAACTTAGATCGAATCCTTGACACTCAAGAAGTTTTACAATTTTCTCTTAACCATAACCAACTTCTCCCTGATGATATATGGTTTATGATATCTCCAGCATTACTTTTTCACAATTCATAAAATGGGAAATAACAGTGGAATCTCAGTAAAAAATTTCTTAATTACCCTGTAAAAAAATTTGAATTCTAGAAGTGCTGAATTCAAAACTACGAAATACCCAGTAATACAAAAAAAAATTGTATGTACAAATTATATGTTTGAATTTAGTAAAAAAAATATATATTTTTTTCTTTAGACACACACTTTTTATGTAAATATTAAAATGACAGAACAGTAAATATAAAAAAAAGAAAAAAAATTGCAGGCCATAATTTAAATACAAGGAGCTATAGGCAACATACCATTACATGTTTTTCTTTCATCAAGAAACATTAATCATGATATCGACAACTACACTGCAAAAGCTTTTAAGTGAAAAACACAAAATTATTTATAAGACAAAGTAAACTGCATATTTAATATTTTCTGTTTAATTTTTATTGCATACTTAAGAGGAAGATATAATGTTCTAAATAACGTTTTTAGTTTGTTTTTATTAATTTATCCTAGGCCAGGATTAACCACGAATTTTAAAACTGCAAATTCTAATTAAATTTTACTGGCAGGCTTTTGCAGTACAGCTGTCGATATGTATTATTTGCCTGAAAGGTTAAAATACAAATGAAATGGTAGGATATACCATTTACTGAGATTCTACATTTAATGTTATTGATTTTGTAACAAAGAAATACTAAGCATTCTAAAATAGTGTAAAAAAAAATCTAAGCAGCCTTCTATATTAATGTTTGTTAACCTTTTTATTTGTAATTAATAATCATTGTTAACATTTGCTAATTTTATGCAGAGCAACACTTGATGATAAAGTAACATACAATGGCCGCTTTACTGCACATAAAAGGGAATCAACAATTGGAAAGGTTGAGTATAGTTATTAATTTTGTTCCATTAGTTTTCTTTTGAGTATGGCTTGATTTACCTTTTTTAATACTTACATTGAAATTAACATCATCTTATAGTATGGTAATGTAGAAATGCCTTTTACTTCTTGTTTACGTATTTGTAATGTTTTATTTTCAGATAATACATTCATCTCCAGTGAGCTAAAGGATATTTGTTTTGTGGTGTGTATTATTAAAAGTTTATAGGGCATGTTGGGGGTATAGAAGTACCGTGATAATTGCATGAGGTTTGTTTCCTTCTTTTACTTCCTAGCACACATATACTTTGAGATCTTCAGTTTTTTTTTTAAGTTTCATCTAGTTGTAGATAAATTTCAAAATCTTGCTTCTAATATACATGTACTTTGAGTCATGCCCAAAAATTTATGTATATGTATATATATTGTAGAGTATTAATTTATTTGTTTAAATTATTATTTTTATGTTCCTTATAAAGTTTACTCCAGAGTAGAGATGGACAATTTGATTCTTTTAACTGAACAGATTCACTACTATTCAATCATTGTGGTGAATCGATTCTTATGAACCAATGATTATTTGATTGGTTCTTTTCATCTTCTATTTTTCTTTAAATTAAAAAAGAAATTTTTATTGAAAAAAAAAACAACCATAAAAAACATTCTTAACATTATGGTTATTCAGGCAAAAACCTTTTTTTTAACTGATTGAAATTAAAAGTCCTGGTTCAAATGTACACAAATAAAAATATATTAATCTTCTTAGTAGGAAGGAAGTTTAAATTTGACCGGAAAAGTTTTTTTTTAAATTTTAAATATTATATTTTGGTCTTTGTATATAATTGTAAATGAAATGGGTGGTAATTTTATTATCCTGGGATTAATGTCCCAATTAGAACAAACCATAAATACAATATAAATAAAACTAAACAGTGTTGCCATACATTAAATTGTAATAACTAGTTAAAAATAAAAGTACAAGTGGGGAAAAACTGTATACATATATAAATGAAGCAAACAGAGAGAAAAACATATAAATAAACAAAATAGTAATATAAAAAGTATATTAATGGAACATGACTAGAAGATTTTCTAGAACAAACTCAGTGAGAACTAGTGAAGGACAGAGAGAGAGCGCATTCTAGTGCCGTCATTTGATTTTCAAAAATTGAAAATCAGTGAATCGACCGATTCTATATGAATCGGGAAATTGATTGCTTCCAAGAGCAAATCTACCTTTTCTGAGTGAGTCAATTTCAACTGAATCGTGATTCTTTCATGTGAATAATTTGAGAGTATGATTCTTTCGGAGGAATTTCTTCTTTGTTTCTCCTCTACTCCAGAGATCAATTTATAAATCCAACTCCTGTTTTATATTAGAATAAATGGGGTATAACTTACTTTCCCATAGAATTGAAAATCTTGATCAGTTGACAGTTTTTGTGTCTTATTTTATACTAAAGTATTTAATAGCATGTGCATGAATTAGGTGGACAATGGTTTCTATTATTAAATGTATATGGATTAATCCTAATATTTTTATATGGCCAATGATTTTTTCCTTTTATATATAACAGTAAAGTGCAGATTAATAATTAAATTTTTGTAATGAATACTAATATATATATATATATATACTTGTAATATTTTATTCGAAAATCTGGATCATTATCCAGTGACTGAATAAATTACAGAGTTTTTATGGAAATAATAAGAGATGGCTTATACGAGTGAACTCCTTTTTGAATAGGATTCAAAAATACTATCTCCTTTTTGAATAGGATTCAAAAATACTATCTCATTTTTGAATAGGATTCAAAAATACTATGCCACAACACACACCGATTTCTTTACTAAATGTTGCAGAACTGTTCATATGGTTCAGAATTGCAACATAAAATCTCTTGTGTATTTGATTTGCAACAAGACTAGATTTAAAAGCCTTGCAGCTAAACAAATTATTCACTTATCTTAAGGGTAAAACACAGTAATAAATGAGGGAAAGATAATGATGATAAACTAAGACATCTAACTTTCTCCTCAAGGGAAAGAAAATTGTAATATGTTTGAGATCCTATACTCTTTTTAATATATGACTGATAAAATTTCACTATTAGTTCAATCAGAAAATTAAATTTAGATTGCGTTTAAACCAAACCATATTCAGAAATAGCATCAGAGATCTCAAGCTTAAATGAAGACAATGGTTGAATAGTTTTCTATGATTTGTCTTTCTGACTGCCAGGAGAAGGTTCAAATCATATTTCACAATAATCTTCTACAAAGTAAAGCAGTCTCATATTATATTCTATCTCATGTTCAAGTATATTGCTCATTCTCACTATGTATTAAGATTTAGTTTTTTTACTTATGCTTACATTATGGATGGTATATGTTTCACAATTCATTTTCCAGTATTTAAATCTTACCTTTGTAACTATTTTATGTCAATTTCCTGTAAATAATATTCTGTATATATAGTCGATTTTTTTTTTGTAACATGTATATGTGAATTTTTAATTTTAATAAGTTTTGGCATACAGACATTTGGTGTTGGAACCCTACTAAGGCAAAGGAAAAGCCACATAATTTTCATGGATTATTATTTATCAATATCAAAACCAATTTTCAAGATGTTTAAATTTTTCTTTAAACTACCAGATTAGTAAATATGAAACCGGAATTTTTTTATAACAAATACAAGTTTATTACATAAAAATGTTTAAAAAAAATTGTATTTGAAATTTTATCTATTACCAGCTATACTATTTTCCCAACTCTCTCTGGCAATTAATGGATGTCATAGCAGAAAAACTGTATCTTTTTTATGGCCAATTAGTCATCAAGTCATTTTCATAATCATGAATGCATCATTGTGCATTATGATGAAGTAAAATCACTTTGTGATGCCTTTTTTGGTATTCTGTTCATTTTAATTTCAAATTGATCATTTGTTTTTTGATAACATTAAGTATTAACAGTTTTGCAGCTCCTAATTTAACACACCTTTCTGATTTCACCAAACAAGTTGCTTTCTCCATAGGCCGTGCAATTGATGTTGAAGATTCACCTGTTATAGTCTGTGGTACAGACAGATCCCTTCTTATCAAATTATTAACATCCGCCTAAAACTTCGTAAATGCTTCATCTCCTCGTAACCTACAAATATTTTATTTACGAATATTCTTGGAATTGTGGCGTTTCCAAATCCAATGGAGGTCGGTAAACTTTATCTATTTAATTAGGTACTAAAAACTCGTAAATACCCATTTTCTTTTTCATTTTAATCGTAAGATAACTTGAGCACAAAGTCCAAAAAAAAGGTGGCTTCAAAAATATTGAGTCATGTGGCGTGACCTACTCCCCCAAATTGTCAAAATAACGAGGTCATATAAGTCAAATGCCTCAATATTTTTGAAGGCCACCTTCTTTTTGGACTTTGTGCTCAAGTTATCTTACGATTAAAGTGGAAAGCAAATGGGTATTTATGAATTTTTAGTACCTAATTAAATAGATAAAGTTTACCGACCTCCATTGAATTTGGAAACGCCACAATTCCAAGAATATTCGTAAATAAAATATTTGTAGGTTACGAGGAGATGAAGCATTTACGAAGTTTTAGGCGGATGTTAATAATTTGATAAAAAGGGGTCTGTCTGTACCACAGACTATAACAGGTGAATCTTCAACATCAATTGCACGGCCTATGGAGAAAGTATTCACGAGTTTTTAGTACCTAATTAAATAGACAAAGTTTGACGACCTCTATATTGGAAACGCCCCGATTCCAAGAATATTCGTAAATAAAATATTTGTTGGTTACGATGAGATGAAGGTATTTACGAAGTCTCAGGCAGATGTTGATAATTTGATAAAAAAAAAAAAAAAAGGGGTCTGTACCATGGACTATTACAATTCAATGGAAAAATAACTTTCCTTTGTACTTGACAAGCAGCATCTCGCAATTGTTTGTATTGCTGTCTTCATTCACTTTATGTGGAACGCATTTACCTATCTTCTGGATCATTCCCATAGCTTTCAAAGATATGTAAACAGGTTTTCATGATACATTAAATTGCTTTGAGTTGTTGGATTGTGCAACGCCAACAAGCATTCTTTTCAGAAATGCTTGCTATGTTTTCTTCAAACCTTTTTAGTGTTCTACAACATTTCTTAACTATTTAAACAACTCAAAGCATTGCAATTTCCCAAAAGTATTCTCCCCATAAGTTTCAACAAGTATTTGATGAGATTCTGCTCTATTTTTCTTTGAATGGTAACAGATGCTGCCCATAAATCGTAGTTTGTAGATAGACAACTCAATATGTTCCGTACTATAAAACGATGCTATTTTAAGAAACTTATATTGTATGAGTTGAAAATCTTTACTAACTGACAAAGAAACATGATGATATCACTAATGTGGTTTAACAGTAACTAGATTAACAACTAGAGCCTGTCTTTGCATGAATTCCAATTTCATATTTACGCTCCTGGTATTTACATCAAATAAAGATTTCATTAAAATTTCTTCTTATCAAAGCAGATTAATATTGTTATATTATTTTTTTAAATTTCTAATTGTGGATTGATGATTGACTGTAGTGAATTATTGACGAGAAGAATAGTTGGGGTGTTCAATAAAAATAAAAAATAGTAAAATAAATAATTATGCTGTGTACAAAGCAACCCTATGTAGTAGGGCAGCATTACTTTTTAATAAAGTATTTCTCTCTACGTTTATATTCGTCAATGTTTCTGCCCGAAGGTCTGTTCTTTATCAGGGCTTAGAAAATATAAAAATAAATATAATTATTTAATTTTTATTTTGACTTATCACACCAACGATCCTTCTCTTCAATTTTTTAAATTTATATTATCATAATATATTATATTTCTGGATCTAATAGTTGATTTTTATGATTGTTAAAAAAACTATAAATTTTATTATATATTTTTAAGTAATACAATAAATTGAGATTTGATTATATGTTGCAGTGCTTGAACTGGAGTGGTCATGATGAATCCTGGCTGGCACAAGTTGCACCTAACCAGCTTTACACTATGCCACATGCACTTGCCTCTGTCCCTCCTGCTTCTTCAAGTGTAAAACTGTTTTAAAATATAAAAAATTCTGGTTCCTATTGTTCGAGTATTTGATGTGGGCAATATGCAATATTTTTTTGTTTTTATATTTTGGCTAAACATTTTATATGCAATATTTTCTCGTTTTTTTATGTCTTTGTTAAATATTTTATAGCAATAATTTATAATAAAATTTGTTAAAGTTTTAATATTTGTCAAATACTGACTAAATTTATATCATAATTTTATAAAACAATTGATGAAACATTAACTTAAATTATTTTACTTTCCATTCGTTTATAGATTTTGATTATTACTTGAATTAATTTATTAGTCTATTATTGCTATGTTACCTTCAAGACCAAATGTAATATTTATGGTAATTTTACATAAGATCTGAGAATTTAGGGCGTACAAAGGATATTTTTCTAGCCTTTTAAAGTGCCTTTTTTCTCATTTTTATAACTGAAATTCTGAACTGTTTTTCCTTAGAGTTTTATGAGATCTTATAATTTTATTTGTTGTTATTTTATGTACCTGTTATTTATTTATGATAAAAGATGGCATTAATATTTCGTTAATTTTTAAATGTTATACCAAGATTCTCATTTATCAATAATTTAGGTGTTCTCTTTGAGAGAACAAATTACTCACTTTGTTAATCTTTAAATTATATAATCTCATTGTAGTTTATCTATTGTTATATTGAATTGTTAAGCTATGTTGATAATTCTCAGGATGTCTTATTCCTAAATTTATAATTTACCAGTATATGTAATCTCATTTTTTAACCACAATAAGTTTTTAGTTCTATGTTTTATTAGTACTTAATATATTAACAACACAAGTAGCTTCTATAAATCAGTATTATTTATTAAACTTAACTGTGATTTTTAACCTAAAATATTATCTTTTAAAGCAATTAATCTCAACTTTTATACTTTTACTTGGATTCTTTTTTGGGTTAATAGGTTTGTCATATCATGGCTTTGGCTTTTTATTTATTTACTTCTTGATTTTCATATTCTTTTCACTAAAATATATTGTCACCTTTTAAATTTTGTTTTCTTTTAAAATATAATTCCTCAAATAAACAAATTTTAATGTAATAAATGTTTTAGGGGAGGTCCTTAATTATGTTTGAATAACTAAAAGTACAACTTAGAGTTCTATTTATATTTCAAAATAGATGTTTTCGTTTTAACCTATTTCAGGATATTTCCCCATATTTCATTGCTGTAGATAAATCTAAAACTACATCAGGGCGTGGTATAGGCCACAGTTAGTGCCTGATGAAGCCCTATAAAGTGGGTCGAAACGTCAGCGTAACCATTAAAATACTATTGTAAAAATTTAGCATTTATTTGACCGCACCCTCTGATTAACACCTCATATCATATCACGATCAACCATCTCTACATCATTACTAAAACTACATCAGTTACTAACCCAAAAAATATCTGACATTAATTGAAATTGTGGTGACGGAGCATGTTGGGAAAGCATATCAGGTAAGCCTTCATTCTTATCTGGTCAGGGTGAGGTAGGATATATGGTGTTACAAACAGCAGTTTCATGAAATTCAAGTGGTAGTAGTTCACTTCATATTTCCTAGTCTATCACAAAAAAAATGATTCAATCATTACAGTATTGTTTCATGCTTCTTTTGAAACTTGAAGTGCACCTCATGCAAACATAATTTGGAAATGGATAAAGTATTTTTTTTTTTTTTTGTTCTTCCTTACCTTGCCTTTTAGGCTATACGGGATTTTCCCGGGCCGGGGGGTGAGGGCGGGGAATTTTTAAATCCCCTCCGGCACCGGGACGCGAACTCGTACTTTTTATATCATCTCAAATCTCTGTTATCTGGTTGACAGGTAACTAGCGGTGCTGTGCACACACTTTAGCCTATTCGGCCACCCCCCCCCCCATATTGGATAAAATGTATGAATCTATAGAATTAATCACATTACAATTCAAAATTGTGCTCATTAACACATTGTCAGATTCGATACAACAAGTGAATGAATCCCACAATTCTTTAAATTTAAATTTATCTCTACGAAAATACATCTCGTTATATATGTTTTATAGAACTAAACTTTTAAGGACGCTTTTGTGAATTTTTCCTTTATTTATCGAAGCAAAGACAAAGTAATAGTATCAAACCGAAACACTGTTCCTATAAGTACACAATGTTCTGATTTCACAAAAAAAAAAAAAAAATTTGATTTAATGAAATGTTACTTAATGGATTTTTATAGTAAATTGACAACGTGCACATATATCTGTCTTTTATAAAAATAAACTTTAAAGTAGCTCTCACCCATTTAGGATAGGATTAAGGCACCTATTATTGACAGGTTATTAGTGATACTTGTAACTTAAATTTGATAAAAATAAGCGTTAAGGTTCGTTCAGGATTTCAAACTAGTTGAACTTTCAAAGGCTAATTAATGTGTCTGAAAGGGTGCCAAGTTTGAAATCCTACATAAACCTGAACGCTTATTTTATAAAATTTAAGTTACAAGTGTCAATAATAGGTAACATATCAATAATAGGTGCCTTTATACTACTGTAATTTTAAAATATAATCAAGTAACATTATTGATTGCAATTTTTAATTTTTAAAAATTAAAATATATGTTACTGAAAATAATAAATTCACCATGAACCAAACTAAAAACAAAGTTGATCCAATTATGGATTTTCATTTGTTTGTTGGCAAATTAACCTCAACAGAAGAGAACCTAGTGGTGGTTTCTTTGCTCCTTGACAAAGCGTACAGAATTCACCTGTGCACATATTTATCAACACTCATTACTTTTATTATTCCAACTATACTGCGATTGATATGATATAGACATACTTGTCTAACAGGTGTGACAAATATGAACAGTAACAAAGCAGGTGTTTCTTATCTTATGTGTCACATCTCAGTTTTTCAAAATTTGTAATCATCAATGCAACAATAAAAAAACTGCTCATAATCATAAATTACTTTTTAATCAACAATAATAAGAAGGCACATTTTATATGTACATTGTGTTATTCAGTTATAATTTTATGTTAACATAAAACAATAAACTGGAACTACAATACACAACATCTTTGGAACAAATGGTATTAATATACATTTTAAAGAAGACTAGTCAATGTCAATTTCTACAGCATCGTGAAGACCTTCAAGTGTCACTTTTTCTTCTGAAAGCCAGTTGATTATAGAAACAGAACTTCTTTTGTTTAGCCAAATTACTGAAATAATGCCTACTTCGATAAATCCAAGAATAGCTCCACCGGTAACATCCAGGAGATAATGTCTTTTTAAAAGAACTCTCGAAATGGCCACTAAAATTGCCCATGTGTACAGAAGGATTGATAAAATATTGCCCAGTGGGTATAGTTGTGAGAAAAATAAACTTATGAACACAGCACGGGAAACGTGTCCAGAAGGAAAAGAATATATATCAGAACCAACAGTCAAAAACATATCAGGTTTGTTACCAGGTGGACGTCTCCTTCTGACAACAGCTTTTATTATAGCCACACATAATATGTCAATGATTAAACCTAAAAACAAAAAAAAAAAAAAAAAAACTAAATCATAACATGAAACGTAAACTACAGAATATAAAATGAAAATATGTAAAAATTTAGTATTCCAAGCTTGTCACACTACTTAAACAATGAAATTACAGCTTAAATAGGACTTGTTGATATTTAAGCCGTTGGATACAAAAGTGGTGTGTCATTTTCATAATAAATAATTAATTTGTTACAGAATGTATTAACTTTTTGTCTGTGAATAGTGGGATGTGCTCAAGACTGACCGGAAAATTCATTCCTCACCATGAAAGAACTATCATTATTCTATACCTACTTTCCCACAAGTGCTTTATATCTCAAAGATTCAGTATTTGACTTATACCAATTTTGCATTGAAAAACCTATTGAAGGTTTTTACCATATGTTCTTCAAATCTGTAAACATTATTTGAAATAATTTAAACAGCATATTTTTCTTCATATCTTCTCTCACAAAAGTAAGATAAACTAATCTTTAAACAATTCAATGTATTGTACATTTTTTGTTTGTCAAATAAAAACAATAATTGTAAAAGTTTCCATATAGTTTGGAAATTTCATTCAGTTTTCACTAATATATTAGCTCTCAGAAATTATTAGTCATAGATTTTTTGTCACTCTACATCCAGTACCTTTCAAAACTTTATATGCTATATATTATTAATGTTTATAAAAAAATTATCTTTTCATGGATGCATTATATTATTATTCTTATTAAATTCTAGAGTAGTAATATTCTCCACAACCTATGTATTTTTTGTAAGATGTTTAAGTAAATGACAAAATAAAATAATAAATCATTAATCAGTTCGTAGGTATTTAATCTGTGGCTGTAGATCCCTGGATGCCTCATAGCTATTACTAAGGGCACACAAAACAATTTTGACATTAACTTTATATACCTCAACTGTTCACTTTTATTAATTTAATCATGAAAAAATAAAATAAATGAATTTTATGCATGAAAATCTGACATGATCAATTTTTTTTTTTTTAATTTAGTGTGCCTAAATATGTAATAATAATAATGATAATATCCTTTTATTATGTGATTATAATAAATCATCATACATCCATACAATGTAATTATTAGATAATCAAATAAAATTAAATATTTTTACTATAAGGACCTATTTACAATATATACATTTTTGCACTTCACGTCCGCATAGAACTTCCCAAAAAGAGAGTAATAGTGTAATCTTCGCAGGTTACTAATCCTACAGGGAAGAAAGAGTTGTGTTCAATACCTTCCTATCCTTTGCTATTCTCCACCAGGTGGGACACAACTTTTCCTTAAAGAAGTCACTCCATCTCTTGAGCTGTATTCTTTTGTTTCTCCAAAGCCATAAGGTTTCCAATCAATTATGACTTGGAACCATATCTTATCTTATCTTCGTACAACATGGCCTGGCCATTGCCACTTGAGATTCTTGATCTGTAATGTTGTATCCCTAAGAACAGTTCTCTCTTCCACTGCTGATAATTTAACATGGTCTTATCTTTTGTCTTTTATCATGTTTCGCTCTACATACTGTAGCCAACTGATAATTTTTGCTATTTTTCCATGTTTGACAGCTCTAGGTAACAAGAGGTAATATACAACTTTCAAAGACGTTTTTTGTTTCTTTAATTCTATTTTATATTTGTAAAGAAAAAGAAATATAAAATACATGTGTTAATATACATAATAGCAAGAGAAAGTATTGAGATTGTGAACAATTTTGAATCCGAGTTTTCTATAGAAATACACATTCAAAGTATTCCTTAGCCCAAACAATCAAGTCTCATTCATCTTTTGTTGTTATTAGTAATAAAAATTCGGTAAATTTGAAACAATTTAAAAGTTAACTAAAGGAAAATTAATGGTTGGTGATTCCTAGGGCGAGGAGCAATGGAAATAAGTGGCCGAGTGGTTCTAGACCAGGTTCTTCTGAGTGCTTCCTAAGCCCCAACCAGCATATTGTCTGTTAAAGATCAGGTAGATCTTATCCTTAATGAAATAATCTCGTTAAGCCTAAAGGCTTTCTCTAAAATAGTATATATATATATATATATATATATATATATATATATATATATATATATATTTTAAAATAATTAACTTCTTTAATTTTTAGAAGTACTAAAAAAATGTGGAGAAAAATAAATTACAAAAGAACTTATAATTAACTGAAGGAGAAATATTTTCACAGGTTGAAAAATAATTTCTTTAAATAAAAATAGTACTATAAATAAATGAATTATATACCATTTCAAAGCTAAAGATCTTAGAAAAATTAATATATAAAATATATAGAAGAAGGTGATCAGGCCTTCATCTTCTTCTGTATATTTTATCTTTAGGTCGAAACGTCGACAAATGTTAAAATAAATATTATTATTTATTTTTGTTTTTTTATTTCTGAATCAACACCCCAACCATCCTTCTCTTCATTATTCACGACAGTCAACTGTCAACCCACAATTATAAAATATACAGTTACAGAAAGTAACAAAGAGTGACAAAACAATAAATAATCCCTCATCCAAACAATAGCGCCTTACTCCAAGGACTGGCTGATTTAGATAGGGATACCATTAAGTCATTTAGCAAATTTATTGAAGAATCCAAGATACATTTTTGAAAATAAATAAACAAATAATAATAATGTACATCCACATCTTCTTTCTATTTTAATATAACAATAGAGGCAGTATAGAACTTCAGTGGGAGTCATGGGCCGACAAAAGGGGGGGGGGTGAAAATTCATACATTTAACTGATCAAATTAATGATAAAATTGATTTAAATAAATATGTCATAAATCTATCATTTACCTATAAATGTAAATACTTATTTCTACTTTAAGTACTATGGTCAGTGAAAATTGTGTGATGCACATCACAACAGATTTTGTTATTTCTTGTTACTTAACTGGTTATTATTGGGAGTGGGGTAGCTTAGTGGTAGGGCACTGATCTTCCAATGCTCAAGGTCCTGGGTTTGATTCCCGGCTCATGGCTGAAAAATTATTTATTCTGTTGCATTAGCCGTGAGGCGACCTTGGGGCACAGCCAGCCTCTATAAAGTGGGTACTCTTAATTAAATAATTAATTAAGGGGAAAAACCTGGCGGATGAGCGTGATCTCAGTCAAATCACCCCCTTGTACAACTGTTGACTATGCATAAGGTCAGAATGAGGTCCTTAATGAAAAATATTGTTCAAGGGAGTTCCTCGGATTATATAGGTTTAAGAACCTCTGATATAGAGAGTAAATTGATACCAATCTTGGCTTGATGAGAAAAACAAATAAAGCCTGTAAATTTCAGTTGGGTACTGAACAGAATGTTATATTGTTTCTCTAATATTGAGTTCAAAATTAGTATACTTCCTTACTCCCCGGCTCTACAGGTCTTTGTGACCCTTGCCCTTCCGGACTATATCCCTCCATCCGTCACAGTCCTTGGCAGCGCTCCTCCAATTCATGACACCTGGTGCTTTACAATTTGTTAGAGCTCTTATGCCGTCTTCTATTTCTACTCTAGTGAATTTCATTACCGCGAATTGGGTTACTTGATTCTCACCATTTTTTTCAAGGTTGTAAACTATTTTATCTTCTTCAGTCTCCTTTAAATGTATGTAAATTCTAGATGAACATTGAATTCTAGCTTTAGAAATTTCTATCAGTTCTTAGTCATCTTTATCTCTCTTAATAATGGGTACAAATATTTTTAATCTCTTTGTTTGCGGATCTATTCTTTAGTTAATACTTGTAATTTAATTTCTAACTTGGTTTTAATATATATATATATATATATATATATTTTTTTTAATTATGCCTCTCTTTATTGGCTTCCGCTATAAGAGATCTTGCAGCCCAATACCATTCCAATTTGGACGATGTAGTATCTCTTATGTTCAACAAGCATGAGCTCCCGAATTATATAGGTTGCAATGTCGAGGGTCTGCCACTCCTATTTTATGTAGGTGCTTCCTAAGGTAGTCCTGGCCTGTTATCATCTGGAACTCTGCTATAGTCTCCTTTCTCGGCAGGTTCATGGAAACTCAATCCGCTTCATTAAACAAATTTTTCCATTGCTTTCCCGCAATATAGCACTTTACGGAATCCAGTAATAGAGCCTCACTGGCCTTATTTATTTCTTTTTCAGCTCTCTGATATGATGTTTCATTTTCTTGCTGGTTCAATGTGAATCCCTCCTTGGCGAGTTTATCAGCCATTTCATTTTTATGGAGACCACAGCGACTTCGTATCCACTGAAAGAATACCTCTGTTCCTCGAAGAAGTAGGTTTTAGTAACTGATTTTATTAATCTTAAAGTATTAAAATTCCTAGTCATATCAAGAGAGGAACAAGAAGACGTCCAGCTGATCTGTAATGGGCAGGTACTTGCAGTTGTGCAAGAATTCACCTATTTGGGTACAATTATCAGCAACAAGGGGAAGATTGACCCAGAAGTAGCGAATAGGATATCCAAAGCCAATCAGGTATATTACCCTATCAGCAACAGTATAGTAGGGCACAGAGAAGTTGGCAAGGAAACAAAAAGGCACATATACAAGTCGGTATACCTCCCAACCCTCACGTATGGAAGCGAAAGCTGGATTATGCTGGACAAGCAGGTTAGCCGTGTGACAGCAGCCGAAATGAAGTTTCTGTGGAGAGCTGCTGGAAAGACCAGGAGAGACCGCCTCAGAAATGAACGCATAAGAGAGGACCTGGAGGTGGCGGAGCTAAGGACTTTACTGGAAAACCGACAGTTGAAGTGGTTTGGCCACGTTTGTCGGATGGAGGAGGAGAGAGATCTGCGGAAGATTCTGGAAGCTCGACCCACTGGGTGGAGGCCGAGGGGCCGCCCCAGAATTTTTATCAGGAATATATGCAGTGGATTGGAGAGAAGAGAGGCAAAACCCTCCAGGAAATGAGGCGGCTTAGTAGGGACCGAGAGGCATGGATGCATTGGATTGAGGCTCCTCGACGCTAGTAATGGCACGAAGAGGAAGATAAAGAAGAAGAAAGTATTAAAATACTATTAGATGATGAAATATATTAATATGAACAATATAAATAATATAAAACAAACCTGAAAGGATTAATTAAAATATGAGTTATTACTTATAAAAATAACAATGTAATAGTCGATTCAATATCCAGCTGCAATTAACAAACCCCTCAGTGGACTACAATTTCCTTCTTCTTTTGCATCACCCATTTGTGCTCATCAGCTTAAGGAAGCATTTAGGCAGGATTACCACTGTTCTTTGTTTGTTGAAAGGTTCCGAGCTTGGCGGAATCCTTTCCTCTCCTTTTGCACATACCATCGACATAAATTTCCAAGGAAATGAAATTGTTCATTTTATATGGGTCATCCATTAGTGTTGATGTTTATAATTTCTAAATGTTAAGATAATCCCTGTATAAAAAAAATTATTCCTTACCTATGAAAAAATTAACTTGCATTTCAAATAAATGTGGATTCCATAAAATCCAAAATAAAGCAACCCATGTAGCAATCCAAGGCAAACTATGGCATGAAATCTGAAACAGATGGCAGAAACAATAATTAATAAGATGAATTTTGTGGGTCTACCATGATATATATATATACATAAGTGATGTTCTAAAGATTTTAATTGCCATCACTTGCACAGCCACCATGGCTCTTAATTTATGATTTTGCAGCTAATTGCATATTAAATAAAATAAAAACAAAATCGAAACTTATTTGAACTATTCATGCAATAATCTAAACAAACTACCTCAAGTCCTTTGAAATGAGTTCTGAACTTGGTTGGAGACATGTAATTTTCCAAGATACGACAAAAAACAGTGGTAATTGCAGCATCTACATTTAAAAGTTGTTTTAAAGGTCCAGGAACAACCCTCTTTTCCCCCATTTTAATAAATCACACTTATAATGACTATGTAGATAATATTTATCAGTCTTCAATAATCATTCTCCAAGTCTGCAAAAAAAAAAAAAAAAATATATATGTGTATATATATACATAAATAATCATAGTTAAAGGAAAGTTTATATTTTTTTAAAAATAAATATTATCTATAAATAACGTAAATATAGAAGACTAAAATCAAATTTTATTTCAATGCTCAAAACTTGCTTTACAGATTTATCAAAACAATAAGTATAATCTAAAATTAAAAAAGTAAGAAGTCTGAAAACAAACTTAGTATGTAATTATTTCTTATCCTTTACAGATCTAAAACGGTCAATAATCAAATAAAATAATTTCTTTAATTCTTAAATACCATTGGCTTATTGCAAAAATTCATCAAGTGACATTTTTTCGTAGAGAAGTCATAAAAGAAACAAAAGTTAATCCTTTACTTTTAGTGTATTTAATTCACAACATATTTGATGTATAAAAATTTGTGTTGAACACTTACTGTTTTTACTTTCACTTACGTATATATGTAATGTATAGTAAGGGTAAGTATTGCGATCATGAAAATTTTCGAATCTCAGTTTTCGATGGAAATACATGTTTTGAGGTCCCCTGAGTTCCAATAACCAAGTGTCGCAAAATGGTCTGTGTGTGTGTGTATTCTAGTCTAGCTCATAAACGAAAAGTAGTACGAAACTGATATTAAGTATTTAAGGTTTGTATATGGGCCGGATGTGACAGCAACTTTTTCGTTAAAATCGGCTAACTGGAAGTGCCACTTTATATGAACGCTGAAACACATATTTAAATTTTTCTCAAAAACGACTAACGATTTAGATCAAACTCGGTGTATCATTGTATAATGAAGTGGTCTTTAATATCATTTAGGTTTTATCCCCGTTGATGTCACTTTACAGGGCTTAAATGCCCAATGTTCATATATGTCTTCCTCTAAAGTACCTTTAATATGGTTTATTTTAAAAAGTTAACCATTTTGCATTATTCAGAGTTACAAAAAGAATGCTACATATAACTTTTGAAAGAATTTGATAAATTAATAAAGGAGAAAAAAAATAAAAATGCAGAAAAACCTGCGTTCCTACAGACTGTAGCGCCTAAACGAATGTATCAATTTCAATGAAATTTTGCTAAAGTCATTTTCTCCATACAAAAAAAGTTACGAGGGATGTTAAAATTAAATTCCGAATAACTCAAAAAGTATACGCTTGTTTGTGGATATTGTATATGGTTTTTAAAAAGTTTATGTAATTTCCTAAAAAACCAAACAAAAATCGTTAAAATCGGACAATTAGGAAGAAAGATATGGTCTCTAGTTTTTTTCCCTGAAGAAGTGAAAATTTGGATAAATTTAAAATATATTTTCTTAATTGTTGAGACTAAAAAAACCTTTTTTCTACAGATATTTAATAAAGTGTCTTTCCTAAGAACATCTTTCATAAGAAAGTAGTACCTAAATTTATACTTTTATTCTCAGTTCTATATTTCAACACTGCAATCACCACCTCTTGAATCAACTTACTGATTGTCTGCATAGATAACTTTTTTTCAACTAAAAATATCACTAAAATGACATCACTCAAAAATGTTGAAATTGGAGTTAGTCATTCTGTAGTTTATAAAAGCAGATAGAGTGAATAGATTTTTATTGCCTGTCGTCGATATATTAAATAGACATTTTGTAATTATAATGGTCTTAATGACTTGTTATCTGTAAGCTTTAGCTCCGTTTAAAATGCACTTCAAAAAATTTTATAATAATAGCCCAGCATTGCCAGAAAATAATTTCTATTCAAAGTAGATCGTTAAGTGAAAGTTGTGTTGCGCGCACCAGATTTTTTTAATTGATAATTATGGTAAAATTTTGCAAACATTCTTATAAGTACGGCACCATGAAGAATACTTAGTGACTTTTTCCAATAAACCAATGATATATTGTTTCCTCCTTGAATACAGTGATGGCTACAAATCTATTAATGAAACTTTGTTTATTTAAGAAGCTGTCAAAGATAATCCGACTTATTCATGTAATCTAATTAATTATGTATTGCATTTCTTTAAGGAGCTCATCTAGAGCACTATGCACCAATGATGATCTAATGTTGCCATAAATATCTGAACAAAAGAGAATATTGAGATCCAGTTTGAAGGACCAATCAAAATCCAATTCGGGTAGACGAAAGTTGATTTCATTTTATCAACTCAATCAATTAAACCTAAAATAAACTCATCACTTAATAATTAATCATAATTAATAGTCAGGATGTGATGAGTGAGTCTGGTGGGGCATGTTTCCCATCATGCACAGTTTGAACACTGTGGGTTCAATTCCCATCAGGGTCTGTTAATATTTATTTCACAGTGATCTTAGAAATAAAGATAAATGAATCTTGATATTCCCACTCTGGTAAGTAGATGTTGACAACCTCAAGGTAGAAGTCAGGGGTTGATAAAAAGGAACATATGGTTGTTGTTGGACAAGTTCTCCTCAACCTGTAGCAGTAGCGATTAATAAATACTAACAATAGTCAGAAAAGTTATGACCCTTATTAACACAGTAGTATTTAATTTATAATACAGATATAGTTTTTTTGTTTAGTTAGTTTAGATACAGAGAGATATAGTTTTAAATTAGCAAGTAAAAAAAAAATCTTAGATAATATTTAGTCAGTCACAACTTTTTTTAAATTATGTGTGACCTATTGCAACCTATGCTCATATGTCATCATTAATGCAAGTAAACTATAGCATCAATCTCTTAGAATTCACTTGTCCTGAAAATGAGTCATAAGCCTGTGTATAAACTTCAGCATGTGATGAAAGAAAAAATTGTTTTTCTCTGTGGTCTGCATAAAGGATAAATAAATTATTCTACTAATATCAATTTAAACCAACATGCTACTTGCAAATAATATATGGTTTCTTTCAGACTAGAAGCAGTTAAATTGGGTCAATAAATTAATTGTATTAATGGTCATTGAAATATTTGCATCTTTGTATAACTGACAACATTCGTTCACCAAAGATACTCTTTGTGGTATGAAATTTATAGAGTATAGGTTACTACTGTTCAGCATTAAGTCTTAAATTCAATAAACAGAACAAAATAAATTACTGAATTATATTATGCAGGAATTCATGGTTTTCATTTAAGATAACCTCTAAATTTTTGAAAATCTTAAAAATTTCTTCTAATTTATCAATGCTTGGCCTGTATTCTGCTTTTAATAAACTTGTAATTAAATCAATGTATTCTTCCTTGACTTTTCCAATGACTTCATTGAGGAAAGTAAGTATTATTTGTAAAAGGTGTTTACTTTCTATCCTTTCCTTAAATATCGAATAGCAACTTAAATAAACTTCAGCTATAATTTGGGAAGAACAAAGAATTTTTAAAGCAGAATCAAATTTCTTGTACCAGTGTCTGTTTTTTGTACATAGCCTCACCGATTTTTCCAGATAATAAACACTTCTTACAACATCATCATCATTGAGATTTTCACTCGATGCTTCTATCAATCCAAACAGTGCCCAAAGCTCTGGGCATTCTGGATCTCTCTTCACAAGCCTTGAAAATAGATTCAGGGCTTCTTGTCTCAGGTTATTACCGACTATTCTGCTGTCAGATTTACTCAATACAAGATGCTTCGCCAATGAAATCAACAAATTAATGTTTGAATAAGATTTCTTTATGTCCAACAATTTATGATATGAAAGAATCATTTTATTGAAGTTTTTACAATGTCCATTCAAAATGCTTAAATCTCTCCAAATCTCCCACTTATCAGGATATAATTCTGAAGCAGTGGTTAAAACATCGCAAGCTGACTCATGACGTCCCATAAGTACATGTGCCTGTGCAAATCTTGACCAACTAATATAACTTTCACCCATTACAAAAAAAGAAATAAAAATTTATAATAAAGAAACTTAGGTATTTCAAATGAATTACTAATATGAAGTTAGTTAGACAATATAATATAATGGTCAAAATATATATATATTTTTTTTTACATGTACAAAATTATTTTTTGTACAGGATTAAATTATAGCCTAAAAAGATAAAAGTCACACCAAATAACCACAAGATTTTCCATATTTTTTAAAAAATTTTATTATCTTTTTTTATTTATAACAATTATCATTATAAATTTTCATCATCTGTTAGTTATGATTAGAAATGGGAATTATATAAAATTTAAATTGTTACCAATATGTTTATTAACTTAAACATAATTATTATATTTTGAGATTGCAGTAAAAATAAAAATAATTTCTATTGACTAAAGAATTTTCGCACATTCATCGATATTAATTACATTGCTCATTTTCAAAAAGTGTACAGTGTCAAAAATGTATAACTCTCAACTGAAGAAACTAATAAAAAATCTGATTAAATCTCTTTAATGGCAGTTAAAAATGACTATGGATATGATTATGATTGTGTGACACTGTAACAATTGTCACAGAGAACAAATTTTAAGAGTCCCACAATCCCTTATCTAAACTAAATTTATAGAATATCCATGGGCCATTTTCAAAATTTATGGAACACAATTCGTAGTTTTCAGTTTCATTTACTTTAGAGACCATTTAAAATAAAGAGATAAAAAAAAGTAATTATAACAAATTGGCACTAGATGACAAAATTCTAATATTTAAAAAAAATTATACCAATGGTTCTGTATGAATAAATAAATTAATTTAAGGATTAATGTTGTGATAATATATTTTAGAACTAATCAGATAGGGTTATGTAAGATATACATCACAAATTATTCTTACGTAAGTTTATCAAGTTTTAACACTGTCCTAGAAATCTATCATGTGAGTTACCTGGTTTTGAAAGGAATTTATGGGAATTCTGATTCTATTGGCTGGCATCGAGTGGCCATATGGTCAATTAAGGACCTAAAACCATGTATTTCCGCTGAAAATTCAAACATTCTCACGTTGGAATACTTTCCCATTGCAAATGGTATATACCTAAAATTAAGTGAAACTAACAGTGATAAATATAAACTTTTCTGCAATTTAAAACAAGAGAACTAAATAGACAAGGGTAAATACAAATATAGCAATAATAATTAAAAAAACCTTAACTACTTCCATATAGATTTATATTCAAATTAACTACCAAATTATATCTTTATGTTGTTTACCGTATGATAAATCAAGGAAGTGGTACAAAATACAATTGCTAATTATTGAATAAAAACAGGTTTTCTAGTTCTTATAATTAGCAGCTATTTTGCCTTGATGAAGAACTACAATGTGGGTTGAAACATTGGCAAAGAACAAATAATTAACAATAATTTTTTTTTCTGACATACTCCCAGACCATCTTCTTAATCATAAATTTCATTTTAAAAAACTTTATTCTGCTCATAAGTAAAATATTCTTTTAATATGAAAAAGGTACTTATTTAATATCTGAAATGGGTAGAATAGCCAACATCTTTATATATTCAAAAATATTGAGGAATGAAATTACTTTTTCTGCTCTTAAATGAATTCAATGAGAGTATTTTGAGAACTTTGAAAAAAACAAAAACACAGTGTTTGTATCAAGTCTCTGGTTGTAGTTAAACAATTTTTGAATAAGTATACTTAATGTTAAAAAATATAAAAGCAATCCTCCCGTCCTTCTGAGTTTGAGAGATGGTTAATGTTTATTTCCGTATCAGATATTCTGTCATAAAATATTAGGTAACTGAAAAAAATATATTGATTATAAGTAAATTATTCATTCAATAATTAAGTGTTAAATTTCTAGTTGGTTACAATGCTTTCTTTACCTTTAACTAACAGTCACTCGACATTTTAAAAAAATCGTAGTAATAGAACATACCTATTAGCCTAAGTAATAAAGTTGATTGTTAACACATACAAAAACATACTGTACAAAAAAACTTTCATTTAGTTAAAGGCAAATCAAATAAGACCAAAATATACAGATTTTTTAATTTGACCAAAGTCAATAAAGAATTACACTTCTACGTGTTTGTTAAAGAATAAATAACAATGATAACAGTACTGGCTATACAAACAAAACCTAGTTACCCAAGGACAAGTTATTAATTGAATTCTGACAATTATTTCTCCACATTATTACTGAATATACATTCACCCATCAAATACACTGAATTGATATGGTTCTCACATTAAATAACTTTAGTTTTCTTATAATCTTCTTTATAAAAAAGAACACAAAATCAATAAGTAAAATAAATAAATGTTATGATGAGAAGAAGAAAAGTTTTAAGAATTATTTTTGCCTTCTTATTTTACTGATCACCCCAACTATTCTTCTTCTCATTATTCACGACAGTCAACTATTTAACCACTAAAATAAATGTTATGTTTAACAAATAAAATTATACATGAAGTTAACTAAATAAATTGGGTAATTTGTTGTAATACCTTTATCTTTTTTATAGTAATAATTTATTATGAAATCATAAGGTATAGTAAGGAAACATGGCAATAAAATTAAATATTTATTTGAATAATCATAAAATTTTTTTCTTGATTTCATACAAAACAAAATATATAATATTTCAATAAATAAATATAATAGGGTCTTTAAAATTTTACATCTTTCGATACAGATATACAAGTAAATGGAAAGAATATATTTGGCACAGTTACATATAAGTATATACATCTATATTATTTACAAACTGACCAGCACTTGACGCTAACAGCTTTTTATTTTGGCAAGTTCCTCTTGGACGGTTTCTAAGGTTTTTTGTAAGGACATCAAGTCATTATTTATTGTTCCATTTATTTCTGATTTTTCCACATTTTCCATCTGCTGATTAATTTTAGCAATCACATTACCTATTGCGAACTTGGCTGAAGATAAAGAAGAAGCAGCCTCATTAGTTGAAGCACATTCTTTAACGAATGTCAAATGCGCATCAGCTAGTTTTTCACAGAGCTTGAAAACATTTTGCATAGATTCATAATCTCTAAACCATGAATTATCTTGAGTGGCAGCAGTATAAGCTCTTTGATAATACTGAATAGCTTTAGATCGTGTAATTGATGTTTGTTCTTCAATACTGGAGGTTAACTGAGCATACAACTGCCATATTGTAGGATTTCCCATTACTTTAGATGTTATCCTTCCAAAAAGTTCCAATGCTTTCTTACGATGAACTGAAGCCGACTGGCCCTTACAATCTTTGACATTATTGACAATAACCGTGGTTAGAACTGTTAATATTTGTTCATCAATATGTTTCTCTTTTAAATCCAAAATCCTATGGTAACAATGTATAACTTCTTCAAAGTCACCACAATCATTACTGACAGCCATTAAATTATCCCATACCTGCCATGTTTCAAAATTACATTTAATAGCCTCTTGAAGAGCATTATAAGCTCTATGCTTTTGCCCTAATAAAATATAAGCTTTAGCAAGATTATTCCATGCTTCAAAACTATCTGGTTCTAAAGCACAATACCTTCTATAAGCAGTAGCACTTTCCTCCCATCTGCGTTCCATTAGAGTAGCATACCCCAAGCGAAACCAAATAGCTATTTGTAAACTATTAATAGCTAAAGACTGTTTAAAATGTTCTATACATTCCTTATACATTTTTTTGTTGAAGTAAAACATGCCCCAATGCCTTTTTGCTTGAGCACTTTTGTGATTGGAAAGTTCCCAAGCTCTTTCATAGCATTGGACATCATCCGTAGCATCACCAAGTGAACATAGTAATTTAACAGTTTCTCCATTTTTTAATTGTTCTCTGATAACTTCAGCAGCTTTGTGCCTAAGCTTCAGATAATTGTAGCAAGCAATAACTTCATCCCATAGTTGTAATTTAAGAAACAGATCTAAAGCTGACTGTAAGGAACCAGTGGATACTAACATTGATGCACATTCAGATGCAACTATAAAAGATGGTGGAGCATAACTGCAATAAAATAAAAACAGTCGCTCGGTAATCGGTGTTTTATTACTTTCTAACTCCATGAGATTTTGAGTCTGAAGGAGTGCACGTTCAATAGTTCGTTTGTGCTCACATTCCAAACGGGAACGTAAATGGAGAGCTGAAAACTGAAAAGCCCAAACTTTAGGGTGAGAAAGCAAACAATTTAAAAAAGGCATTAACTCTTCATTTTGAAGATGATCTTTAGCTTGACTTTTCTTTTTAAAAACATAAACTGCTAATAATGTTGCTTGTTCTAATGGATAAAGGGCAGGGAAATCGCCATCTTGCGGATTAGAAAAAGCTACTTGAGGCATTCTTACATCATCATTAAGTGATATATCTTTTGGAAAATCAATTGAATCTTGCTTTCGTAAATCACAGTCATTTTCTATTCCATTATTTCGATCAACATTAACACTGATCATTAATTGGGCAAGATCCCTATTCTGATAATATGTTCGTTTACCTAATGCACCTGTAAGATTAATATCCATTCGTAACATTGAAAGAGCCTTTTTAATTTCCTTGTCTGATGCAGCTATTTTTCCATAGTGTAAATGTATACGTGCAATTTCCAATTCTGAAAGTACCTGCAGATATTTATAATTACTAATCCAATTGAAATTTTGAACACGATTACTCAGCCTGCTTAATTGTTCTTGCAATGTAGGTGACTGTTCATCTAAAATTTGCTGTTGAATATAGGTGGATCTAAGTAACCACCAGTCAGGAGTTCTTAACTCAGATAGATTAGAACCAAAAATCGCTTGAGCCAGTACAAGCAATTCTGGATTAAGTATGGATGTACAGATTTCTTCACCATCTTCTGAAAGCATTAACTGAATACAATCAGTAACATTTTTATGACGAGGTTTGTCATCTGGAAAACATTTTCTTACAACAGGGGTAAGTAAAGCTGTGAGTGATTCTGGTGCTTTATATTCTGGTCCAATCCAGTTTGACTGAATGAATGCATTCATACAAGCAACACCTGCACACAAAACTTCAAACTGCTCATTTACAGTCACATGTTTAGAAAGATAACTATTAACAATATTCCTTAAAAAATCCAAAGGTACATTTATTTGAAATGCACAGTCTTCTGAGAAGGTGAGGATATCATGAACCACAGAGGATTCAACCAAAGAACTATACTCACCACGTTGTAAATGTTCTACAGCCGGTAAGCCTTTACACGAACTTGTTGGAATTTGACCAATCAGAATATCTAATTCCAATTCCCATATTTTATTAAGCTGATCCTCCGACATAATTAAAAAAAATGAAAAGGTATCTAAATCTCTCGGAACATTAATACAACCAACAACAAAACATGGTCAGCAGACAGAAGGTAAATGAGTAGTGGTTATAACCAGTGTCGCCAACATATTGCTTTTTAAATTATTGCATGCTTCAGTTTAAAAATTAAATGGTTCTATTCATTAGCTTTTACACAGTTTTCTTTTGGTGTAATAGTAATAAAAATTATCGAATATAATTACAGATCATATGAATTAATTTAATAATCTGAAAATCACTAAAATTGATTTAAGGAGTTGACTCAACCAAGAATACAATTACGTAAATGTGATTTTTGTAAATATCAAATGATTTCAATTTCGAATATTTTTATTATACAAACGAGAACAAAATTGCGCTTAGCATCACAATCCGCTATCCTTCAGTAGAGAGAAATATTAATAGTTTATTCATGAAAAATACCATAAGAAAATTAATAATAATTCCCAAATTTACCTAAACGTTAATATAAAGTAGCAGTTATTAATAGTTTTATCAATAGTGGAGATTTGATGTTAAGTAAGTTTTACACAATACAATTAAAAATAAATAATACTAATGGGTATATGTGTTTCAAAAACTTGTAGGGTAAAAGAAAATTAGACTTACCCCAGTATTCCTGGAAGATGGATAATAACAGACTTGACCTAACCTCAACTTAACCTGCACCTTGTTATCAATGTTATCTATGAGCTAGAGTGCAGTTGAAATCATTTTATTGAGATTATGAAACTTGGTTTAAAAAAGAAATTTCTGAAATAGGATAATTAATTGGATAGGTTTTATTTTTCAATGGATCACTCTGAATTTATTCAATGCAAATAATAATTTCAAGCTATACGTAAGGCTACAATTACATAGGCTTAGTTGTAAATCAATTTAATGAAATCTTAAGAACTGTAAATTTTGTTTTCCATATTTACGCATGCATAATCCAAGTAAATCACTGTCTAATAAGGAAAATATCTTCATTATACAGTACTTAGAGAGGGAGGTTCCCTAATCTTAGCAATTATTTTATTACTCAAACAGTAAGCCCATCCTTATCCTTAGGATAAGGATAATTTATTATTAACAGTGAAAAAAGGAACTTGTGGAAATATATAGTAATTGATACAATAGATGTAATATTTTCATTTTTTTTTATAATTACATAGGGTTACCACTTATATCAGACTGTAGACAGGATTTTACATTGGAGAGGGGGGGGGGGGGGTCTCAAGCTGGATGTTAGGATTTCAGAATCCTGATAATTTTTCTCATCTGTTAGATTTTGAAGAGGATTTAACTAGTTTATTATTTAGAAAAAGTTGATTCTTCTTCGAAATATTTAATTCGTTTGCACTTTATGCTGTTTTGACGGTTTTTGTCCACTGAATAATACCGCTCTGTTTTTCATATTTCACTGTTTTGTTATCCACTTCAGTCTTTGCTATTTATTGTTAACCTATAGAGCCGTTATATAAATTCTAAAAAGGTATCTGTGAAAATTGTTCTGTTAGAAATCTTCGATAATTTAATTAAACGTTTCATATTTCAAATATTTTTCTTCTAGTTTTACTTCTATTTCAGAAAAAGGGCAAAATACTATATTTTTTATCGTTATTCTTGATTGTAAATAAAGTTATGCCTAGTCACCATAAGTCTAGATGGTATTCATGGCACTGGCGGACACTAGCGGATCCAGGATTTAATTTTGGGGGGGGCTTCAGCCCGAAAGAATTATTTTTCGTATACATATAACGATAATTAATTTTTAAAAAAAGAAAGAAATTAAGTACCTATATGAAATGGTGTTTAAGTGGTTCTTGAAGTCCCATTAAATGTAATTACGCGAACAAGAATACTTTAAGAGATGGTTTATAATATTTTTTTCTGTAAAACATGGTTATATTTTACCATTTTGGGGGGAGGGCTTCAACCCGAAAGCCCCCCCCCCCGTAGATCCGACTGTGCTGGTGGATCCAGGATTTAATTTTGGGAGGGGGAGAGGAGGGGAGGCTTCAGCCAAAAAGCATTTTTTTAAAATTAAATATAACGATAATCATTTTGGAAGGAAAAGAAAGAAACCAACTATTATTACGAAATGGTGTTTAAATGATTCTTGAGGTCCTATTAAATGTAATTACAAGAACAATAATATTTTTAGAGATGATTTTTTATGAGGAGTAGGGCAGTGGGGGGTGGGAAGGGGGTGCGGTCAAATAAATACTAAATTTTAAAAAATAGTATTTTAAATTATATTATAGCATCCTTATTAAGTTTATTTATTACCCCCTCCCTTTTTATTAAGTTCATCCCTTCTTAATGCAGTTTTATTAGTGTTCAACATAACTAGAATGGCAAGAGAAGAATGTAAGATTAAGCTTTAAAAAATGTATCCAACAAAAAAGTTATAGCCATAATTCCAAAAAATTCAGAATAATTTAAATTTTGTTTCTTGTAATGGAAAACAACATGGAACAGATATTGTAAAACCAGAGCTATCAAATGTTTAATATTAGCTCATGAAGCTTATACACTTTAGGATTATAGATTATAGCAGTAAACAAATGGTTGCTATAATTGGTTGTGTTTTAAGATCCCTTGATTCCATGAAATCATTTTATTTTGAGCTTTTTACGACAAAACTGTTTCTGACAGTCATTAATAATTTATTTATTAAATATAATTTATCAAAAAATTTGACTTATGAAAAACTTTACTGGTACTTCATCAAGACATTATTAGCTAGTCGCTTAAAATTAAAACATACTAAAATTATTATTAAATTGAGAGAAAAGAAATTTGAGATAAACGTATCGCTACTATGATGAATAGAAATTTAATATATTTTAGCTTAATGGCACAATTTTTTAAATTGTTTTTTGTCTGTTTTTAAAAAAATCTGGCACAGTTTTTTTAACCTGGAGAGGATCGAGGTCTTCAAAATTACAATTTTAAAAATATGGAAGCCACAAAAGAAGGTTTAAGAAAACACACTAAAATTTGTAACAAAAACAAAATATTAAAATAATAAACTTTATAATAGATTAATTAGGAAATTATTAAAGTGAAATTTTTTTAATTCCCTTGGTATGGAAGGGTAACTGCTTCTAGCTTCATTTACAGAAATAATGACTACAAGAACTCACCTTCATTTGGAATGAAGGAATTTGTATCCCTATATCATTTATGGGAAAAGGGTCCTAGTTTTCTTTCTCAAACTCATTTATCAAGGGTATGTTCAAACTGTCTCCATTCTTGCAGTTCTGGCACAGAGAGGGACAGTATAATACCAACTTAATAAAGCTAGCTCTAGCACTGCTGCAATCAGTAGTGCATTTGCAGAATATAAAATAAAATTTCTTTTAATGATAAGGGGTTCTTGTTAATCAATGAAACAAGGTAATATTGGTTGTGCTGGCAAATTCATGACGAAAGAGTTAAAGAGATGCTTATTGAGCAGACAATGACCAATATACAGTCCTGTCACATACCAAATGGTGCTCCTGTCTATCCTCAATAAGGTTGATACACTTTTATTCGGACAGGGTCTTAGAACAACGTGTACTGTATTTGTTTCCTTGGATGCTCCCAATAGAGCTTGATTTTATTGCCACTTTTTAACTTAATTTTATTAGCTACCTTGATATGTCTTTTGGCACAGCTGAGACTTATAGCACAGAAGGGTTCTTACTCACCTTTAACGACCAGTTTTTCAACCAGAGTTTCATGCTTGGGATGGCAAATTTCCTCATTCCTGAGCTTTCCAATGACCTTGGTTCTTTTATTCTCTTCTTCCCAAATAACATAATTTTATTACATAAATTTTATTTTAATTTTTTTTCCTATTTTACGAAATATGTTGAGGGTCTGTTTCATGTTCTTGACCCGTCAAAATCCCAGTAATCTTATCTTCCTCTAACCCTTACTTACATTTTGACTATTGAAAAATAAATCAATATTAATAATTCATCTTCCTTGACCGCTTGATCTTAAGAAATCCTGATGTTTTCTTATCCAAATACTGGTTCACCATTCAGGTCAGACTCCTCAATTAATTTTCTCAACACTCTTACCATCATTAAGTTGATTTTACTAAAAATCTTATCTACAGAGTAGTTTCATTATCTGATTCTAAATACCACCAACCTAAAAGCCAACATATTAAAAAAAATCTTACTTTCCAACAGTTTTCCACACGTTGTCATATTCAAAATTACGAGTATAAACACCACACAAACTCTGCCAGCCATTCCTTCTCTGAACTCTCCACACTCACCTTCCACCCTTATCTCATACCAAAAACTTCTAAAAAACTTGGATTTCCAAATACAAATCATTGATAACTTTCTGGTAAAGGCGATAACTAACTTCAAGTTTTCTGAACATAACTTAATTTTTAAACATTACTTCGAATTTGATCATCTATTGCTGCTACTATTCCTAATCACAACAAAAGGTTAATTAGTGTGTCACTCCACATCAATTTTGAATCCTATTAATCATGCAATAGATAAACAATGATTTCCCTTGTCTAACAGCATATCTTAAACTTAATTAAAAATGATGTAGAGATGGTTGACCGTTGATATAATATGAGAAGGAGTTAGTCGAGGGTGCGGTCAAATAAATAAAAATTAAAATATATAAATTATTTTAATTTTTGCCGACGTTTCGACCCACTTTGCAGGTCGTCTTCAGGGCGTAGGATGTGGCACTGTGGGAGGCAGTTGGATGTGGATACGCCCTGAAGACGACCTGCAAAGTGGGTCGAAACGTCGGCAAAAATTAAAATAATTTATATATTTTAATTTTTATTTATTTGACCGCACCCTCGACTAACTCCTTCTCATCTTAATTAAAAATGAGTAAGTTTTTCTTATTTTTGTAGTTCATGCCCCCACTTTATTTTAATTTATTTACCTAATACAACCAATTCCTTTACTATCTAATTTATTGATGTATTTTTTTTTATTTCTGCAAAACTCACAGTCTTACTCCAGATCAATATTTTAGCTTTATAATGAATAATTCTTTGACTTTGAATTTACATTTTTAGTGATTTTTTGACTTACAAACATAATTAACTATAAAGGTCAGTATTCTTTTCTTATGTTTAGTTTAATTTTTCATTATGTATTTACTTTTAATGTAATTTTCTTTTTTACTTTGTATTGATTTTTCTATTATATATTTAGCTTTTAGCTTTTATCCGAACAATTTGTAAGAAATAATTTTTTGTGACATCATATTTTTGTTTTTATCATAGTTTCCTTGTCATTATATTCAATATT